GTTTCTCCATTTTGACTTTATTTTTGTTAAATAAATCATGACACAGTGTAATATGTCATGTGTTGTTGTTCATCTAATGGTTGTATTTATCTAATGTTAAGACCTGATAATTGCTTTATATATATATATCAGATTCTTGCACTGTAACAATAATGAAGTGAGCAAAGGGGCACTCAGAGTGAGAGAGACAGACACACAAAACATTCTAAGTGTGAAAATAATTATATTTTCCATTGTAAAAAATGCACAAGAACTTTATATTGAACCATCTATAAATGGTTTCTGTGGTTCTGCAGCGGAATTGCCAATTTCTCAGATAAGCTCTACAAAATCTACATCTATTTTGTCAAAAGTGCCTCTCAATGATTTGAAGTAGCAACATGCTCCAAGAATAGAACACTTTGCAAAAGAAATTTCACAAAAGCCCATACATCACGCTCTGCTGATTGACTTGTAAAATCAATGTCTATGTGCTGTGTATACCTGAGCGAGGGGGGGATAGGTATACATTAAATACATTTTCTGCATTCAGAGAAGAAAAAAAAAAAGGAAAAATGTTTCCACTTTAGAAAACACCAGTTGTAAAAGGAAAGATTTGCATAAAAGGCTATCGTGCAATAGATATGAGTATCTCATGTGCTGCTGCCTTCATTGGGTTCTATAATTATGCAATCATAACAATGAATTATGTATAGTTATGCAATAAACACACCGACACATTCCATTAACTTTGCCGGTGCAGTAAAAAGGAAGAATGAGGAGAACATCTCCATAATGTGCAACAATTAAGATTATTTTTAAGTATACTTTGAGCCGGATGATTTGAAAAAATAATTCCAAAAGATGGATTTGCACGACAGATAGAAATCGCAGTTTTAGGACTAACCAGATGCCAAGATCTAAATGTAATGTAGGCATCATGTCCATAAATCCCACCTGCTCAGGTCTTCCTACAGTCACAATGCCACCAACAGTATTCGGTCTTGTCCAAATCACATAATGGTTGGCTATCAGTCTGGGTACTAAGGCTTCCTTTTTAGTTTCAAACACATGCACTAAGTTCTTTCAAAATCTAAAGGATAAACTAGTTGAACAGACCCTGGATTTCTCACTGATAGCTCTCCAGTTGTGGATACGTTATTTTAAGTCCATTGATGTCGGCTGTCCTTGATTTAGATCGATTTCTTAATCTGTGGTATATGTAACCACTACACTTCTAAACAAAACACAATTTTGAGGGGGTCATGTGTACCTAAAGGGACATTCTAAGCACCAAAACAACTTTAGCTTAATGAATCGTTTTGGTGTATAGATTATCCTATCTCTCAACATTTCAAATGGACAAGAAGGGACACTAACATTTCAGGTGTGTGGGGTTGTGGCCAGGAGCAGGGCTGTTCTGAGAAATGTCAAGTAATTTACTAATAAAGAAAAAATAGAAAACGGTCCATGCACTCCAATATACAAAAAGGCAAATTTATTGACCCCACTGCCACTCACAACATTTTGAAACGAAAGGTCGAAACGTTGTGAGTGGCAGTGGGTTCAATAAATTTGCCCTTTTGTATCTTGGAGTGCCTGGACTGTTTTCTATTTTTTCTTTATCAAATGTTTGGTCCCTGGTACTGGGACTTGCCTGGATGCACACGGATACATACTACTTGGGATTGAGTGCAGTTCCACACCCTTGTTTAAGTTATTTACTAATAGAAATTTATTAAACTAAAATGTAATTCAGAAGAAGAACAATGTATCTTATTTACACATACTATTTCTAAACACATTTATTGCAATTTAAATACACGTTACTGGGAGTATTATTGCTGTGGAGCTCTGTTATACAATCAGACACATTACTGGGAGTATTATTCCTGTGGAGCTCTGTTATACACTCAGACACATTACTGGGAGTATTATTGCTGTGGGGCTCTGTTATACACTCGGACACATTACTGGGAGTATTATTGCTGTGGAGCTCTGTTATACACTCAGACACATTACTGGGAGTATTATTGCTGTGGAGCTCTGTTATACACTCAGACACATTACTGGGAGTATTATTGCTGTGGACGTAAAAACCCAAGGGCAGAGTACAGAATATTTGATAGAGTCCTAACCTCAACATCTGAGGAAAGGGATTTATGGGTGATTATTTCTGATGACTTAAAGGTAGGCAGACAATGTAATAGAGCAGCAGGAAATGCTAGCCTAATTCTTGGTTGTATTGAGAGAGGTATCAGCAGCAGAAAGAGGGAAGTGCTCATGCCATTGTACAAAACACTGGTGAGACCTCACTTGGAGTATTGTACGCAGTACTGGAGACCGTATCTTCAGAAAGATATTGATACCTTAGAGAGAGTTCAGAGAAGGGCTACTAAACTGGTTAATGGATTGCAGGATAAAACTTGCCAGGAAAGGTTAAAGGAACTTAACATGTATAGCTTGGAGGAAAGACGAGACAGGGGGGATATGATAGAAACATTTAAATATATAAAGGGAATCAACACAGTAAAGGAGGAGACTATATTTAAAAGAAGAAAAACTACCACAACAAGAGGACATAGTCTTAAATTAGAGGGACAAAGGTTTAAAAATAATATTAGGAAGTATTACTTTACTGAGAGGGTAGTGGGTGCATGGAATAGTCTTCCAGCTTAAGTGGTAGATGTTAACACAGTAAAGGAGTTTAAGCATGCGTGGGATAGGCATAAAGCTATCCTAACTATAAGATAAGGCCAGGGACTAAGGAAAGTATTTAGAAAATTGGGCAGACTAGATGGGCCAAATGGTTCTTTTTTGCCGTCACATTCTATGTTTCTCTGTTATACCCTCAGACACATTACAGGGAGTATTATTGCTGTGGAGCTCTGTTATACACTCAGACACACTACTGAGAGCATTATTGCTGTGGAGCTCTGTATACACTCACACACATTACTGGGAGTATTATTGCTGTGGGGTTCTGTTATACACTCAGACACATTACTGGAAGTATTATTGCTGTGGGGCTCTGTTATACACTCAGACACATTACTGGAAGTATTATTGCTGTGGGGCTCTGTTATACACTCAGTCACATTACTGTGAGTATTATTGCTGTGGGGCTCTGTTATACACTCAGACTCATTACTGGGAGTACTATTGTTGTGGAGCTCTGTTATATTTCAGACACATTATTGGGAGTATTATTGCTGTGGAGCTGTTATACACACAGACACATTACTGGGAGTATTATTGATGTGGAGCTCTGTTATACACTCAGACACATTACTGGGAGTATTATTGTTGTGGAGCTCTGTTATACACGCAGACACATTACTGGGAGTATTATTGTTGTGGAGCTCTGTTATACACTCAGACACATTACTGGGAGTATTATTGATGTGGAGCTCTGTTATACACGCAGACACATTACTGGGAGTATTATTGCTGTGGAGCTCTGTTATACACACATACACATTACTGGGAGTATTATTGCTGTGGAGCTCTGTTATACACGCAGACACACAAACAATATAAAGCTCCTAGAAAAGAGGGATTTTTAGGATATACAAGAGGGACAGATGGATTTGTCCCTCATAACTATGGACACTGAGGAGTTCTGGATTATAACCCTACAGTCTCGCTACTCAATTCTATTCAATTGAGAAGTTAGTTTGATTTCTTTAAAAAATAATTTAAAAAATCAGTTTGCAAAATTTTTGTTTTTTTTGTTCATTATCAATAGAAAATATTACATATGCTAGATGTTATATGATTCATGGCTGTCACAAAAACACATGAATATTAAAAAAAAAAAATCCCAATATTAATAATTCCCATATTTCAGCTATTTCTCTACCCACTTTCACTGCTTTGATAAGTTTAAAAGCCAATACAATATAGAAATTTGAAATATTTTACTCCAACAGCCACCTTAGATGAATCGATTAAATCATTTCAGTTTAAACAGACATCAATACAAAACTATGAACATCTGAAAACTCATTTAGATTACAGCAATGTACAAGGCAACTCTTTATTGTGTTGGCATTGGTTAGTTGTGGAATGAACAAATCCATTTCAACTTTCATGAAATTTTGTCTTTTCACTCCATAGAAATGTCCAGGTACAGTTCAAGAACATTAGACAGATGTACATACATGCATTCATCTTTACATGATAGAATCAATCCCAAGCAATGAGAAGCTCAATAATGACACAACAGAGATAAAAGGTGATTCAAGATCTTTGATCGTCTAAAATTGCGGTTTGAATGGTGTGGCTGACCAGTGTGCACACCCCATGGGTTAGACAGTGATTGAAACCGACAGGTTCTCTCTATTGTCTTGCTTGCTTCTAAGTGAGACAGGAAATATCAGTTCAAACTCTACCCAACCAAAGGTGCATGTATATTGCTGAAGGATCCCATTATTCTGAGAGCTAAACGTATCCCATAAACCTCTACCCAGGAAGAATGTATGGAACATGCATTTGCATGTTTACGTTCTTTTTCATATGTCATTTCTCCACGTTCTGACAGTCTGCTTAACCACTGCCATATTAAATAAAATGTTATATTATCATTTTAATACATTTGCTATTCATAGATCTGATTTTAAAACAAGCATGTAATTATTTTTTTCTTTATCATCCTACCAGTTTTATTCTGATATAACTGTGCTCTGCCTCATCAGCACATGATTGCTCAAGTTATTAAGGTAAAATTGGTTACAGATACTTGAGGACATTTTGTGTTTTACAAAGAAGATTGACTACTTAAATGACAAGCTTTCAGTGCCATAATACTAGGCATCTTTCTCAATAAAAAAAAGAGGCAATTGCTTATTGTGAACTGTACAATTTTCTAAGTCGCACGCAATAAATTTTTAAAATGTAATACAAATAAGACAGATAAAAATGACCAATAAAAATAATGTTTGTTTTAAGCTAATAATACCACAGCTTATTCGAATCATCGAACCATGAAAATTCATTTGCATTCGCTTAGCAATATGTTAGCGTTTTCTCCTGTTTTCCGATATAATGGAACTAAAGATTTAAGGTTATACAATACTTGATAAGAATGACTGAAGAATCCATTTTTAGAAAACGATGACCTTGAGTGATTTTCAGGCAAAACTGTCGGCAAAACTGTCTTTAGCACATAATGGTCCAATAAAAAATAAAAAATTCTACTGTGTGGTAGACAGAAAGCAAACACCTTGTTAATAAGACAGAGAAAAAACGGCCTTCCTCTTTCAAGATGAGAAAGGCCACACATACTTATTAAGCACTCGTTGTCAGTATAGGACGATTATCCTCCAATTGTCTATACTCAACAAAACATCATCTAGTACGACTAATAGTGATTTCCACATATGGAGATGGTAGTATCGAGATTTATCAAGAATAAGCGGTATAGGTGGATTTGTAATTCCTTGCATCAACAGTATAGGTTAGTGGTTTTGTGTAATTACATTAGGTATCTTTTAATGGAACATAGACCCTTGAAGTCCTTCATGAATAATGACTAGTCAGGCTTGACAAAAATACTCTTGTAACTGGTCAAAGTGTTGCCAGGTCCTCATTTTGATGGAATAATTGCCTGATTAGTAGTTTCTACTCTCCAATTAAAGGCATTCACTACGTAAAAGAAGCTTTCTCAGCTGAACTGGAACTACAAATAAAAGCATCCTGTCCATTGTTGGACACACGTTGTAGCAAGGATTCAAAGATTACAAAGGAATCTGACAGTAAAGTAACAACCTTTGGACAATTCACTTAGTTAATGGGACACTCTTGACATCAAAAGCACTTTAGACTGCTAATGTCCTTAACATATGAAGTGTGTGTCCTTTTTAATTTTATGAAAAGTGCAGATCTCAATAGAAATTGTCACTTTTAAACATTAATCTTGTTACACCTCCTGGCTGTCAGACAGCCAGTCCAGTTATTGCCTGGTTTGTTTAACTCAGTGGAGCTTAGCTCAAGAGGCAGCAATTGGCCAGATCACCTGCTTTGCAAAGACTTCTCATTGAGCTGCATTGTGAAGTCTGTGGTTGGACAGATGCAGAAAGTCTGGGCTGTGGAAGAAGGGGAGAGATTTACAGCTTCTACAAGCTGTTGCTAGATATATCCTCACAGTAAAAAAGGCATTATTAAATGCATGCATTTTTTTCCATTGTGGTTGTATCTACTAAACAGTTATTTTTTTATATTTGGACAGCTTAGAGAACCCAGGTTCTTGTTTCCATTCGCAATGACTTGCCAGTACTGTCCTGATATAAAACAGACGTGCCTAATCTCTTATCTTGAACTTGTACCAAACCAACATTACTGTAGCATAATGCTGCACCATACTCTATACTGATGCTCACCACTTGACCTCTTCTAACCATATTTAAAATGTCCAGCACAACAATAAAAGTTACATGCAAACAGCACACTTGAAATAACGCTGGTTTTATGAACGTTACTAATTTCCATTTACTCCAAAGATCTCTAAAGTCCGTATATGCCAGGTCGGTAATTTTGGGTCCATTTGGTATGGGGTCAAACTGAAATTAGTCAGTATATAAAAAAAGATGAGCCAACGGGTCAGAAAAAGAGCTGGCCCAGACACTCTGCAAACAGTGTTAATTTTGTAGACTAACAATTTAAGTCGACTAAAACAAACAATTCAGATGATTAAAATACGACTAAAAGTAAATGGCTTTTTAGAATGTGAAAAGTGCTCTGTACATACAAACAGGCACTTAAAATAAAAATATATTAGAAATGCCGATCTATCAGCTGCTGCAACACTGTTGTGGAGATCTCTCCAATCAACCAAAAATTCAAGTATTGTACAGATAAAGGGAATTAAAGGGAAACATCCACCACAGGACGAATCACGGAGCGAGACTCTGGTTTAACCCCTTAAGGACACATGATGTGCGACATGTCATGATTCCCTTTTATTCCAGAAGTTTGGTCCTTAAGGGGTTAAAAGGAGGAAGTGAGAAGAAAATTTGATAACTTTGATTGAGAAAGCCCTAGGAATGGGCGAAAGGCGTCTCGAAGAGAACAAGCCTCGTAAGAGGACAAAATTTTACCATTTTTTATGTTTGTGTGTATTTACGTTTTAATAAATTTATCCAATGGATTTTAAAGTCCCACTGGCTGCAGACTCCATCTAACTCCAACAAAGAAGGTATACCCCACTAGTGGGTAACAGTTTTTTTTTTTTTTTACCTATAGCCTGGTTATCTTAAAAAGGTGAGCACAACTATTTTGTTTATTCATTTATATATAACACCTGACTTACTATACTAGAAGCAATCTCTTTGAGTTTGCTTTTGAGTATACGAGGAAAGAACGAAGAGGGAGGGTGTCACCTTAATACACCAAAGTGGTTGTGATTTGAGCCAGTCCCACATTTGGCTCTTTACTTGTGAGTTTGTTCTTTATACATTTCAGTATAAGTCACACAGTACTCAATATACTTCACTAATAGATGTTTTTCTCTCCCTTTTATATATACATATATTGGACTTACCGATACCCATATATTATGGGTGAGTTCTTATTTACAGCGCTCCACTTAAGGGATTAATGGTGGATGTTTCCCTTTATCTGTACAATACTTAAATGGCTTTTTAGTATGTTGCCGCCAACATTAACACTAGCGTGTGAGGTAGCCACAGAGAGGCTGGGGAAGGGGCAAAAGAGACAGACTGGGGCTCGGGAGAGATACACTCAGGGGGGCTGAGGGATCAAAAGAGACACAGAGGGGCTGGGGAAGGGGCAAAAGAGACAGATAGAGGCTTTTAGTTGTGTCGACTAAAACATACTGGAGATTTAGTCGACTAAAATACGACTAAAATTAAAACAATTCAGATGATTAAAATACTACTAAAAACTAAAATGGCTTTTTAGTCAAAAGACTATGAATAAAACTAAATTGAAATTTGCTACCAAAATTAACAATGCTCTGCAGTAGGGAATAACCCTTGAAATAGAACAATAGAGAACAACCTATAAAACCGAAGTAATCCAGAAATCACAGTGGTTAGATCTATAAAAGGGTGATTAGTATATTCAGTGGACGATTGTCACAACAACGTAGTGAAACTAGAAAAGCTACAATTTCTGGGGAAATTGTGTGAAGTGTTCTTGCCTCCACCAGTAGTCTACAACTGGAGTGGGCGGAGTAAATTATTATTTATATAGCACATTTAATTGCAACATTCTTGCCCAAAGTGCTTCACAGTTACATTAAAACATACATTTATAAAAACATTAGCAGGTGTACAAAAGGCCCTGTCTATGACATCACTTGCTGCTCCAGCCTGGCACAGGTCAGAGTATTTTGGCGGTTGCCCTCTTCAAACGGTCGTATTTTAAAAACTATAAACCCTACAGCGAAGAGCTTTATATTGCGAGAATCACAAGACCCAGACCTACATTATGATGCATAGTATGTCTCTGAAATATTAACAATGAAGGCACAGTCGCAGTTTAGAAATTGCCCTTCACATTTGAGCTGGCTACAGTGGAGTTTCAATGAATGTCAATGGACGGGGTGAGTTGCAAACAAATGGTCATATTGTGAAAACTATCAGGACTATGGCTTAGCCGTGGACATTTTTAGTGGCAGCAGGGATAGCTGAACGTTTTGATATGATATGTGTAGGTGGGCTTGAAAATGAGGGAGTGGTGGCAGTTTAGAAATCATGTCCTGATTTTTCTGCTTTTGCCAGCTCCCAGTCTAGTTTTGAACATTTTGCCATTCATTCCTATGGGACCAGTTTCGCCACAAGAACAACGATATTCCCTGAATTATTCTGTGAAAAGTTCCACAAAGTAATAGCAATCCAATCGGGAACAATCCACACGTTTCGGTATATTACTTTCTATAGTAGTGTTAAAACTGTGGGAGGAGTTAGGGTGGTAAATTTGGCTATAATAAGAATAATATATATGTGAGATAACATTAAGTGGTCTAGCTATGCAAGAACACTTAATAAAAGGTATTTATTATACATTAGACCAAGTGATAATGTGCTTGTGGGCATAAAACAATATAATGCTAATATATGATGCCCCTAAATATGTGGATAACGACAAATCTTCCAGACATGCATATACCAATACCCCATAGGAAGTATAAATTCAACAGAGTGATAACAAGGGGGTACAGAGTAAACCTCCCGCAGTCAATTCCTGTTTAAAAGACCCAATAGGTTAAAAGTAAGTATCTTTACACACCTTGATATCTGTGTGTTTACCAAAAGATTGAACCTTGAATAAAGGGAATCCCTAAAGCATAAGCATTGACTAGATCCCTATAAATTCTAAACAGATACTACTACTAGATACTAGTAAGAATGCTTCCTGTACCTCAGCACACCTAAAAGTGTGTGCTCCTACCGAAAGGGTGTGAAAGAAGGGAGATTTCAGCACATACTGCCAGCAAAGTCTATATAAGATCTCAAGTAATGGCATAAATAATGGTGTAGCAATACCTCGGCACACCTAAAATGTCTAAAACAAAATTAGCATGAAATGTGTGACTGAACAGTCTGTGGAGACACCAACACTCCTGAATTAGGAAGGATTGCAATCATGAAAGAATGCTACTTACCTAATTAGTCATCAGCTTTTTTTAGAGTAAAAAAAAAAAAAAAAAGTTATAAAAACAATGGAATGGAGTTCGTTGACTGCTTGCGACACTGGTTGTGACAATGTTACACAAGCACTTTATTTAGTCTACCTCAAAACAAAAATAAAGCGTCCCGATCCTCCTCGTCCTACAGAGCACCGCAATTATTGAACAACCTCCGGCACACTTTAAAATCTTCCCCAAGCCTTAAGTCCTTTAAGAGATCCCTCTCTACATACCTCAAAACAGAATGCATGTGTTATGGTTGATTATATATTATTAATATTGTTTTTGTATTTTATTGTACTCTATTGTATCAATGCAATGTTTTGTGGACCCAGGACATACTTGAAAATGAGAGAAATCACAATCTATCTTGTCCTGGTAAATTATTTTATAAATAAATCTGTTTAGCCCTTTAAAGCCGCGAAGGCATAGAACGCCGTAATGGCGTTAAGGGGTTAAATGCACCCGTACTTATTATATATCATTTTGTTCAGGAGAAACAAGGCTTTCATTTCATATCAAATATTTAGCTATAAAACAATTTATTATGAATAAAATTTTAAAAAAAAAGAAATTTTAAATTCCACCTCCGTAAATTCCATAATTTGGTACCAAGCAACACATGAATTTGAGGCAAGTAACTTGATATTTTGGCAGTAATGGAATATTTTTGAATAAAGGGGTAACAGCGCTGTACAAAAGTTATAAGAGACACAATTAAATGGAAAACAAACTTCATCAAAAGCGCAAACCCATGTAAATATTTTTAGATGGGTTTAAATAAGCAAAAGCAGTATACAACCAAAGTATATTTATTTTAAACTTTGGAAAATATCAATATAAAAAAGAAACTTTGGATTTAGAAATACAAAATAATACAAAAAATTTATTTCTCTAATCTTATTTAACAAACATTAACATTAGCCCTTTCGCCACAAAAATACTTTCAGTACCTTCATTATTTTACAAATTACATATAAAAAAAACAAAAACAAAACAAAACACAAAAGAACACTTTTAAACCTCTGTGGGCTCTTAAAAATCATACTATAATACAGAACATAATTTATGCATATTTTTAACAAAAACCATACATCCTAAGAAAAGATGCACATAATTTGTATTTTCCTGCTTACTGCCACGTTTCCACAAAAGGATTAAAAGAAAGAAAAAAAACAAACAAAAAAATAAACAGCGAGAGCAGGGTTTGTATGTATTCTTCAAGTCGACTGAAGTCTGTGAAGCAACAGGGTCCTTCAAGACCATCATGTAAATTTATATGTGTGCTCGTCAAGGAAGGCAAGAAACAGTTAAAAAATAAACAAACAACGGTTTTATACAATTGCCAAACTACCGGTACATCACCTGTAAGGTGTCTCAACACAAAAGCCCAGCTAAACCACACCATTATTTTGCCTGGATAATGGGGAAAGAGAACTTACTGTAATGTCTGTGTCAAATGAATTTGCAATAATATCTGCAGGGCCATTCCATGTCAGATACCCAACTGTAGATTGCCTTAGCATTTCTAATTTTCCTGAAAATTGTGTAGAGCTGTTACCCTTGCGTGGCAAACAAATTTTGTCCTGAGATATAGTACAGCGCTACAGAGTTTGATGGCGCTATATAAATAATAATATATGCAATTACATATTGCAAAGGCAGCTGTCTAAATATGCCATAAACAGGTATCTCAAATTAAAGCCCCCCTCCCAGATGTTGCTGAACTCTCAAGTTTCTGAATATTAATTGCATTCAAAGAATACTAGCAGTTGTAGGCCACTAACAAGGGGGGAGTGAACCCGAGTCTGAGATCCCAAAACTAAAACTTCCACTTTCTACATATTGAGGGAGATAATATATTATGGCAATCCAAAAATGCCATGAAAAGGTAGATTTTATGCCAAAAATCTATAAAAACTAAAGTTTGCTCAAAAGTAGATATTGTTACCCAATTTTCAGAAAAATCAGAAATGGTAAAGCGAATATATATTTATTTTTAAATTTGTTGATTTACAATGGAATGACTTTGTAGATAAAAAAAAAAAAAAAAAAAACTCATCCCCATAATGTCAAATATAATGCTTCTTCTAAAACAGACCATGTAGTTGCAGACTAAATGTGCCACTGGTAAAATCCAACTTTATTTTAATAAGGTTTATGTTTTTTTTACATTTATACTCTGGATTCTTCATGACCTGCTGCGCTTTATGATTAAGTGGAAACACTGCACATTCATGCCACTATATTCACAGTGGGGATCGTAGCACACTTGCAGTCTGAACTGAGCACAGACTTGATAAAGACTGAAAAATAGCCATATTATTGCACCATATCATTTGTTATTGTCTATATAGTCTGTATTATCGGCTTTATAGTAGGAAATATTCGGCTTCATTAACACTATTCTAAATACGGAGTGGTTCAGTACCATGTGAGCGTATATACACACACACACACACACACACACACACACACACCTTCTCATACTCCTGTCACAATGTATTGTAGAATTCATTACACTATTTTGTGTGTGTTTTTTCCCCCTCATATCAAAACCATCTGACATACCTGACCTTACCTCCTGCATAGCAAAAGTTTTTTGATTTTGTTAAAAGTTTTCATATGAAGTCCAAAAGTTTCCCCAACCCTGCCGCCATACATTTTGCAATTTCCAACTAATTCAGAGTTTCAAATAAAAAATATAATGCATATTGGAGTGTAGAATAAATAGGCATGTTATTACATTTTCTGAAATTGCAAAATGCAGTAGTCTACTCAAGAATATGTATGGTATTCCTTGGTCAGTGTAAACCGTTGTACCACATAATCAAACATTAACAATAAAACATTGTAAAGGATATGATTCATAATCCAACGTTTGGGTAAGGACACCAGTGAGAACAAACTCCGCATTATGAACATCTATTAAAAAAATAAAGACAATACAAAGTAAACATTAACTGAAAGATTACACAATCAGACAACTAAACAAGAGAGAAGCTCCTTACCTATATTGCTAGCAAAATATTCTCTGCACAGATGAAGATCATTTTCACAGGATATCAAGATGATCTCAGCTAAACTCTATTCAAAAGAAAACACAAACAAAGAAAGCTTGGATAACAATTTTGTGAAGAAACAAACAAATCAGCATTGCCCCACATTGATAACGTTTGGTTCCCATAATGGGAGTGCAATGATGCAAAAACACCCAACAACAGATGAAAACCTTTTGTAAGTATAACATTTAATCTATACCTTTACTGGTAGTTTCTCTAGGTGATGTTATTTTGTTATCTAAACATTTGTGAATGATACGTACACAAAAAGGAACCCATGTTGACTTTGCAAGATGAAGACTTGCATTTTATAATCCTATGTAGCAATTCAAGGAATACACAGCTAAACTAGAATATAAATTAGTCCATAAATTTAAATTATAGAGGGTGTATTTGATATGGGAAATAATTGAAGCTAACTCTTTTTGTTTTACATGTTTTCTCACATGCTGGTACTGGATTCTCTTCTACTAGATCAAAATAAAAAAAATAAAAAATTTCTGTGTAAAATCTCATTAGATCTGCCGAGTAGGTATGCCTGCTACATGCTCCAAATGACATCATTAACTTAAAAGATAATGAGCTTTGAAAAAGAAGCTTGCAGAACAAGGTACTTGCACCATAACCACGTCAGCTAACTGAAGAGATTTTGGTGCCGAGAGTGACCCTTTACAAACAATATTATAAAAAAAAAGTAAAAAATAAAATAAATATATATAAAAACTATATACATACCTTATTTTGCTTGTGCTCCATAATTTTTCTGAAAGAAGGCTGTTTTGTTAAGATTTTCCCCCCAGCGCTCTCCACAATAGCTTTCATTGTTGATAAACTAGGGCAAATTCCAGGAGTAATATAAAAATATTTACCCTATAAGAAAATATACCATGAGATATACTTAATAATATAATATATACTCTAAATACATATACCCACTAATCAAATGGTGAATGTAATTTCACAAACCATAAAAAGAATGAAACACCCAATTAACACCTTAATGAACATCTGGACTATATGCATTGTAAAGAGATCGCCTAGCCCTCTAAAGAGAATGCCTAGCCCTTTACAATAGAATTATTCATTTACTCCAATAGCATCAATGCTTCAACTTTTAGACAATAATAAGTAAATGCAAAGGAATATATTTAAAAAATAAGTGTGCAAAAAATACACATATTGTGCTTACACGTATAGAAAAGGCTGCCCACCAGAAGACTATTCCTCAGTGCCAACGGCTTAATTTTTTCAGTTAACAGACAAATAATCCTTTGCGTTTATATCAACTGTTAGAAGATTTCTCCACAACTGATCATTACAATTTAAGCTTTGGGAAACTTGCATATAAAAACATACCTTGAAGAGAGGAGTACCACGTGCTCTTTTTAAGGACTCTTCCAAGCTGAAACAGAACAATACTTCGGCTTCAGCATCCCGCAGTATGTAACTCTGCTCCTCTATAATGACAAAACCCAAGGTTCTCCCTTAGTATATACACAACAAATATGCAACAGCAGTAGTTAGAAAGTCCATTTGTAAGTAGTTGGAACTTTCTTTCCATACCACAAGCACACAAACTATATACAAACATACTTTGTTTTACATATGATCTCAGATTTAAAAAAAAAAAAAAAAATTTTTAAACTAGTTTAAATCTCTTAACTCAAGAGATTTGACAACACACGTAAAGGAAATCAACCAAACACAATCTAGCATTATCCTGCATCAAGAGGTACAGAGGTTTATATGGTTTTAGACCTACCAACAAATTTTTGACATTTGAAACTTTCGTCTAACCATTCCTGGGTCACAATATGTTTAGCTATTGAAATCGCAGTCAGAAACTTTACTGTTCTGGTCACTTTACTGGCAACCAGATGCGTGCATTTTTGTGCAGATTCTGCCACTTCCCCACCAAGAATGTAGAGTTTCTGAAAAAGAAGACATATCAAAATTATCAAGTATTTCTCTAACCATAATTCTTTGTATTACTGATCTTGACTAAACGAGAAGCAGCCACGTCGAAGTATAACAAGATGCTGCTAAATGTTTTATTTAGTGGTAGAATAATTTAAAAAGTGCAAATTGTCTGAGCCCTGCTATAATTTCCAGTAATACTTGGGTACATTGCAACATATGCAAATTTTGCTCCAGCTAGCTTTCCATAACTATTTATAAAGAATATATCATGACTGCTTAACATGTCCATAAGTGATGTGACATACAAAGTACCTATATAGATACATTTAACAAGAGATTATTACCTTGATGTACTGTTGCCCTTGCTGTGGATCAAAACCGGTAAACATAACATGCGGAGTGAGGTCAGGAGACAGTTTCTTAGTTGGGGGTGGTAAATCTTCAATTCTGGGGAGAGTAAATTCAAAGTACTTGAAATATTAACAAGACTTACTTCTGAATAGCCAATAGTCATAGCTGCATCTCCAAAACCTCAGTATGTTCAAGGTTTATTGATTGCATTAGCAGAAGCTCTTTTGTGGTCATACTTATGTCTACAGGACGAACATGTGCTATCGAAATAGCTTGTGTAGTAGAACCCCTCTATGCAAACTCACTGCTTACAGATTTGTTCAGCTCCTTGTAATGTTAATTTTTTATTTTATTTTTTAAAGTCATTTTGCGATAATCCACTTATACTTTATAAAATGTTACATTCTTGGGAGTCTCTTGGCCTCTGATTTATGTTTTTTTTTTAATGATTTAAAAAAAAAATGTATTTATTTTTTCATTTCAGTAGCATAGAGCTTTGGTTTCAGACTCATTCATCAAATGCACATCATACATCCACTAATTAAACATGTCCCAATTCTGTGCCTATGAGGGTTAGGAACTGCAGAGTCAAACTCGGTTCTCAATCAAATGCTTTTCATATGGGAAGCATTAAATTAGCTGATATCATCAAGCTGAAGGGGGAGCACATCTAAATGGTTAGTAGGAGACTATAGTAGTAGGAATAAATGTTTATATTTCTAATGTTATAATGTTCCTTTAAGATTTTCTTTTCATACGGTGGATACTTTGATTCAATGTAATGTCTTCTTACCTTGCTCGTTTAGGTTGAACGGCCGGTTCATTTTGCTTTGGTTTAAGAGGAATTCGAATGCCCTAGGAAAGGAAAAAAAAAATAAAAAAATTCAGTACAGCATGGAATTAATGAAGTCTCTAAAACCATGGCATATAACCTGATACTTTTCAAGCTAACAGTCCAGTAATATGCGACACACATGATATAACTTGCTATTCTAGATGTCAGGTGAAAGTTACATTTATATCCCAGCTGGACAGTCTGGGGAGGTAAAAAAATAAAAAAAAAAAATGAAATGTTGGGCATTAACATATAGATTGAAAACATTATCAGTGACACACTAGTAAGGGTTTAAGATTTTGCTCAGAAATCAGGATACAGGCTATCTGCTGCCCACGGGCCCTACAGGTCTCATTCTCTGAAAAGAAGAAGATTCATAGCTTTCAATACAATAAGCACTAATTGCATTGTGTTAAACCCTATATCGCTCCACCTTGTAATTTAAGGTGACGTCTTCAGGATTAACAGTGGTATAAACAGATATTACACCCAGATATTACTATTGCCCTTGTTTCACTGTTAAAAATAATATCAATATCGAATCTATTAAATTAACCCATGGGTCAATCTACAAAGGAATCCAAAAAAAGTGTGTAGCTGAATCCATATCCAACCATTACACTACAAAGAAACAATCTGATCTAGATGTACATTAAAGGGGCATTATAGTCACCAGAACAACTACAGCTTAATGTAGTTGTTCTGGTGAGTACAATCAGTGCCTTCAAGCATTTTAATGCAAACACACTTGAAACATAGTCTGCTCATTTTAACCCCTTAAGGATCCAACTTCTGGAATAAAAGGGAATATTAAGGGTTATAGCTCTACTACATGTGAGTTGACAACTGTTCTAAGTGTTGTTTGTTCTACTATTTACAACAAACTTACACTATTGGTTCGCCTCTGTTTTAGCTTTTTATTCCATATGCGGCTATCGAGTGGAGTTATCCAATAAGTACCGTACAAGAACTAGAAGATGTGTTGTTACCTCTAAGACTGTGACTTACCATTAGATATTTATTACCATAAAGGTTTTATGGGCGACTTTGTTTTTAGATCTTTTTGTGCATCTTATTGTTTTTATTTTGAGTATTTTATTCTTGGCGCTACCTGAATTCTGTGTTTACTTGTTCTGGTTTCCTTAGAGGTTTGGCAGGATCCCTCTACTATCAGGTGTGCTTCCTCTTATTACTGTATTCAGTTTGTTTAGCTTTTCTTTATCTCTCTTGTACCTTTGAGAACAGGTACCTTCAAAAAGAAATATTTTAGGTTATCTTTTTATTTTTTTATGTATATCCTAACAACTAAATTAATTCTTGAGGTTTTCAAAAGATGCTGTGTTGATTGATGGATAAGTGTGTGCTCTAAAAATTCAGGAAAACATTTGTCAATGTGCTTTCAAACCACATACTAACTGAAATTGTACAAAAATCAAACATTCACTCGTATAAACTCTGTCATTCTACAGGACGAAGTAAGGCACTACAACAGTTACAGCCAAAATGATCTCTGGAAGCGGTGTTACTATGGACGTTTGTGAGTAACAAAAAAAAAAAAAAAGACAAATTTTATTTATCATAATAGAAAATAGAGGCAGTGCAAGAAGAGGGATATCAGCATTGCGATCAGAAGAAAAAGAGCAGATAGAAATGTAAAATAAATACATTTAAAAAAAATTAAAGACGGAGATCAAGCTTATCCTAATCATCCTCATGTATTATAAAAACCTCAAAACACACAACCCAAACTCAAGCACATTTAATTAAATAGGGAGGGAATTGGAAGTGCACTGCCTCTAATCTTAAGTAAAGTGACATTTACAACAAATAAAAAGGTTATTTCCTTCCAAAATAGAGGCAGTGCAACAAGAGGGATGAACATGCAATCTTAAATGGTAGGATGTTTTCACTTTACCACTGCTTAAAGCATCTTGCACCCAAAAGTACCCATGGAGGGCTGTATGTCTAATCTGTATTGCTTTGAAAAGGTGTGAGTTTAAAAACATGTGGCAGCTTTGCAAATCTGTAGCAAAGGCTTTTGATGCCCATGAAGTAGACACAGCTTTGGTGGAATGATCTTTAAGATGTAGAGGAGTTATGTCAGAAGGTTTGTAGGCAAGAGAGATTGCTTCCTTGATCCATCTGGCCCTGGTAGAGGACAAACAAGTGATCTAAGCATCTGATTTTCTTATTTTTTTCCAAGTAACAGAAGAGTTCATTAAACATCCAAACATTGGAATTTTCTGTCCTTGGGATTTTGTGTATTTTTTTTTTTTTAATATTATCTTTTTTACATTTTTCCAGGTTTATATATAAACATTCGCTTCATTTGCTGTTGAATATTCCTTGACATAAATGCTTTAATTTTACATACGTATAAATTACCATCTCAGGTTATCTATATTCATTATATTTTTACATTTAAACGTCAACATCATCTGTAGCTTTAACATACAGATTCATATGCTTACATTTACAAACATTACTATCGTACTAGACCTCATTTTTTGTGCATTTTGACAAAAGGCAGGCAATATTATTTCCTGGTTCATCTTGTCTGCTGAAGCCACTTTAGGAAGAAAAGAAGGATAAAGCTTTAAAACCACCTTATCCAAATGGAAAGTTAGATCAGGAGGATAGGCAGACAAAGCTAGAAGTTTACCTAGAAGTTTAGCAAATGTAATCGTGATCAGGAACACTGTTTTCCTGGTTAAAATCTTTCAATGGCAATCCTGTAATTATTTAAATGGAGGTTCGCAGAGGGCTGATTGAACTAAATTAAGATCCCAAGGAGAAGAGTTCACAGATAGTAGGAAGCAAGTTGATAACTGCTCTGAAGAATCTGTCCACCAAGGGATCCGACACCAAATCGATGATGGAATAAAAACTGATTGCACAGACTTTAACACAGAGAGTAGCAGGTCATAAACTTATACCAAATCCCATTTGTAGAAATCTCAGGAGGCAAGGTGCAACTAGATTTGAGGTCTATTTGTGCTTCTCCAAATAGATTAACTGCTAGCAGAAATGTCTGAGATGAAAGCAACTAATCTCCCCGCTTTAGATGATTTTGGCCTAGAGCATCAATCAGCTAGACAGTTGCTCTTCCCTTTGATGTGGACTGCTGTAAAAGAATGAGGATGAAATTCTATCCATATTATGATATTTGAGCAAAGGTTCTTCTCTAGAGAAGTGTAATGTGTTATTTCCTGCCTGTCGATGTAGGACACTGCAGTTACATTGTCTGAGTGAACCTGCACATGATGGAGAAGAAGACGTTTGAAATTTAAGAGAGCCCTGAAATTTGAAGATCTTCTGGAGTTTTTTGCGGTAAGTTCACCAGTCTGTTTCCAGTAAGCTTATATACGATTTTAACTTTATTTTTGCGCTCAGAAACACATTCGGCCACCCTGGGAGTCAGGGCCTGCCTCCACCATGTCCTTCTTGAATGAAATTGGTGCCAAAGTAGTGCACTGCAACCTCTAGGTGGAACGCATCATAACTGGTACGTGCAGTTCACGTTAAGGACCTCACAGCAGTGCGCCTTCGCACTCCCACACCCTTCTGGCACCTGGACGGAAGTTATACAAGTGTGGAACACAGGCAACCAGCATGTATTCCACCGCTCGAAGAGGGAAGAACCATGCCCACAAGCAGAGCTGTTCTTTCAGGACAACTGCAGCCCTCTCTCAATTTTTTTTCCTCTCATCACAACATAAATGTAGAAACAAATAAAAGTAAACTAGGTTGAAGATGTACATTTATAAAAAGATGATCTAACCCATAGACGTTGAAAAGTTAGAGCAGTGTAGGTGAATCAACCGTATAAAGAGTAACATTCGTTTAAGCTTATAGATAAGAATAACATCATTAAAGTACATACCATAAGGAGTTCTGATGACACCTTTAATGGAATTCTCCAAGCATCTTTACGTAAAAAAACAAAAACAAAAAAACAAAAACAAAGTTAAAGCAGATACAAAATAAAAAAATGCAGATGCAGAATGACGCAAAAAAACTTTATTTGCAAAAAGATACACAACTGAGAAAGCTAAAAAAGAAAAGTATTTATTTAGAGCAAAAGCTATAAAATTTTCTATCACTGTTTGAAGCATTCCTTCACATCTTAACCATGACTTCTGCTCATCTTATCCATTCTAAATTACCCCCTAACTGCACGTTACTGTAGCCGACATACGTCACAGTCCCCTAAAGGTTCCTCCCAACCAACAATGTTTTTACAAGCAGCCGTTTACATCATTAGAAAGCAACTTGTAGTTTGGCTAACATCTGTCATAAGTACAAAGCAAATACTACATACCTTTTGCTCTGAGAAGCACAAGGCTGTGCTAGTAAGCCACTTTGAGCAAAGGTAGGAAAAAAAGGATGCAATTCCACCCCTACAAAAGGACATCTTTACTTAAGCTGGCACAGACCAAGTTAGAAACAGTGTCACATCAAAACGAATAATTGTGGAACATGGTGTTAACAGTGGAATGGAATGTATGATGATGGCACCACTTTTACCCAAGAGATGCTATTTAAATAGCAATTTCCAAAGTCTTTTTATGACAGAAAACTCTGCAAAATATAATTAAAAAAATGCAGAGAACTTACCGAGAAGGTTTGAAACAAGATGAGATGAAGGCGCCAGTGGGTCTTGAAGATTAAATACTGTGTACCGGCTGTGCTGTATCTGACGCAAAGCCTCAAAATTCCCGAGAAGAATATCACAAAGCCAAAGTGCGTTGACACAAGGTATCCTCCATTCCTTAGCTTTCTCATATTTTAAACCACCAGGTCTGAATAAAAAAAAAAATAAAAAAAAATAATGAGAATTTACACAGGTGACTAACAAAGGCAATGACTGTCAAGTGAAATTACTTACAAAAAGTTGCATTTCTGTTAAAAGAAAGAGACAACTTTAGAAAATACTCATAACATTTCTGAAATGGACCCTTATGACTGCTTATAATTCAAGCCTCACTCCCAACCTTAAAGGACCACTATAGTGCCAGGAAAAAACACTCGTTTTCCTGGCACTGTAGTGCCCTGAGGGTGCCCCCACCCTTAGGGTCCCCCTCACGCCGGGCTCTAGGGTGAGGAAGGGGTTAAACTTACCTCTTTCTCCAGCGCCGGACGGGGAGCTCTCCTGCTCCGCCTCCTCTTCGGCTGAATGCGCATGCGTGGCAGGAGCTGTGCGCGCATTCAGCCAGTCCATGGGAAAGCAATCACAAATGCTTTCCTATGGACGCTGGCGTCTTCTCACTGTGAAAATCACAGTGAGAAGCGCGGAAACCCTCTAGCAGCTGTCAATGAGACAGCCACTAGGGGCTGGATTAACCCATTTATAAACATAGCAGTTTCTCTGAAACAGCTATGTTTATAGAAAAAAGGGTTAATCCTAGCTGGACCTGGCACCCAGACCACTTCATTAAGCTGAAGTAGTCTGGGTGCCTATAGTGGTCCTTTAATGTGTTAAGGAGAAAGTTTTTACACCTTTCTTTTACTCTGAATGGAATGCATCAAAAATGCATAACCTCTTTAAACGATATTACTGCTGAAACAAGTTTTAGAGGAGTATAAAATACTATGTATTTGTAGAAATATTGCAGCACAGAGGTCTACTAGAGGTTTATACGCCAGTATGTAGTTTCATGCCTGTGACAAGAATATGAAGTCAAATTATATTTCTCACCGGATTCTTTGTGTTTTTACCCCAATCAGGATACAGCTTACATTTTTACGTTGATGCATAAATTCAATTGAATAACAAAGTGACAATATATTAATCGATGTAGAAAGCATCGATTTCTAAAAGATCACATGTCTCCACGCACAGATGAAATATCTATCTTTTAAGCACATTAGGAGCTTATTTAGCTTCCTCTCAGGGATGCTATTTTACATTGGCAAAGGCATTTAATTCACAGATTGTGAGGACGGCATGAAATAGCTTTGATTTAAAGTGGAGATAAGTGTCTTTTATTCTCACAGAATATATGGGATTTCTGATTTATTTCCTTTTCAGTCTCACTAAATTCTACGTAGGGTTTCTCCCAGCAAGGCTGCAGGAACACTTTTTATTATTATTGGCATTTATATAGCGCCAACTAATTCTGCAGCGCTTTACAATATTATGAAAGGGGGAAATTTACAATAAATGAGACAATTACACAGTGACACAGAAACAATAGGTAGATGGGGGCCCTGCTCAAACGAGCTTACAGTCTAGTTACCTCCCACCCACTCCTACATTTAACCCCTTAAGGACAGCAGGCATTCTATGCTGTCCTTTTTGGGGTGGTCCTAAATGCCGACAGGCAGCATAGAACGTCCCGCCGCCCTTTGTACTTAGCGTGTCCCTGCCGTCCCCCCGACGGCAGTCGCGATCCTGGGGTCTGCCTGAATTTTATATATTATTCATATTAAAGTTATGCGAAGTGACATGAAAACCCTGTTTCTCCTGAACAAAATGATATATGATAAGTGTGGGTACACATAATTTGAACGAGGTGAATTACGCCTGAACAGATATATAGCACAAATTCAAGGTTTTGTTTAAGTTTTGATTTGATCACAACTTGTACATTGGCTCAGTCCTTAAGGGGTTGACCTGATCACTTTGAAAAAATCTGCCTGAAGATGTGAGTGTAATATCAACAAATCAGGATTAAACTGTTATAGCACTCAACTCATGTTGACCTTTTAGAAGAGAAAAATCTGCTTTATTGGCTTAATGAGAAATTACACTCAGATCTGATGAGAAGAACAGCAGCTCTACCAGATCTGATGAGAGAAAATGTGGCTGTGGATGCCTTAACTATTTATACCAGAAACACCAGTTTATGTAACAGAAACATATAGAAACATAGAATGTGACGGCAAATAAGAACCATTCGGCCCATCTATTCTGCCCAATTTTCTAAGTACTTTCATTAGTACCTGGCCTTATCTTATAGTTAGGATAGCCATATGCCTATCCCACACATGTTTAAACTCCTTTACTGTGTTAACCACTACCACTTCAGCTGGAAGGCTATTCCATGCATCCACTACCCTCTCAGTAAAGTAATACTTCCTGATATTATTTTGTTTATGATATAAGGAAACAATACACAGACCAGAATTATTGGTGTAGCCTCTTTTAAGTCTAGAAGAAGCAGATAATTTACACAATAATTTTTTTAATCTATAGTCTATATAAGCCATTAGAAAGTTTGATTCATACATGGAAGAAAAATTTACAACATAAACTTTGGACAAAAATGAAACTTTGTCTATAATAAGAAAGTACATTTACTATATTATTTCCATTTATTGACGCATCCTTTAAAAGGATTAGGTAAAGACTAGAGTGAAGATAAACGTTTATTTTTACTTTGCAACGTATTATGCAACGTAAAACTAAAATCAATCCAGTACATACATGAATGGGAGGGAAATATGCAGTGCTAAACCCAGAATCCTGATCAAACTTCAAATGTCTCCCAGTAGGAAAGTTAGATAACAACCTTGACATGTCAACGTTTGTAATGATTATTTTATTTCTTTTTACATTTTATTCTGCTTTTAAAACATTATCTCTTTAGAAATATAGCGGTTCCTCATTAACAAACAGACCTCTGAGTACTTGGTAAGTGGAAGAAAATCCATAGTAAATAGTTTTACCTGAGAACAAACACACACACATTTATCAGGTAATTGGAAAAGAAGTAGAATACTCACAAAACGCAAGCTTTTGTTTCCAACACTAAACTACTACTCAGTTCTGTGCTACACAACATCTACCTCTAACTTTTCATGTCAGAACTCCCTTAAGAGACTAGTATGAAAGCATATTTTATCAAGAGTGCTTTCTGTATGAAGGCCTCCAGGTAAAAGAGATCATAGAGAAGACAAAAATCCATCACTTACTCCTTACAGATGAGAACAGTGTTACTGCGGCACAGATATCCAGTATACTTTGAGCCTGCCAAGTAGGCCATTAACTTCAGGTCATCTCGGTCACTGTCAACAAACCCAGTCACTGAAATGATCTTAGAAGACAAGAACAGATATTTTTCTACTCCAATCGCATGATTGTGTCAACAATACATAAATAAAAACTGCTAGAAACATTTTCTCAAGAAAAAAGAAAAAAAAAAACCCACAGAAATATAACTGAAACAATAACCACCAGTGTACATAAACTGGTGCCGAGGGAAGCAACATCTAATGCTGCAGAATATGAAAAAAAAATAAAAAATTATAACCAAAATGGATTTATACAGACTAGTTTACACACAGCCACTATAGCATTTATTCGATTTGACAGTCATTTAGCTCCCCTTGTTATTTCCTGTACTTATTATAAAATGCGCAAAAAAATATAGAGATAACTAAAAAATAACATGCAAGTAGGAAATCAAGAATAGTTGGTCGGGTGACGCTGGTAATTATATTCCCTGAACAGAAAACTCTAACTGCAATAATTGCTGGGGAAGAGATAAAAAAAAATAAAAAAAAATAAAAAATAAAAAAAAAAACTTAGCCACACAACATTAAGTATTAAATTATTTGTTTTACATGAATAATTCCCTAGAACGAAGAATACATCTTTAATAAAAAACTATTTCTGTTAATGGCTGCTGACATTTTAAAAAATAACTGTAGCCCAAAATCAAACCTCCTTACATGCTGAGAACAGGGCTTCCCTCCTGGTGGGAATGCTACAGGAAAATGCAGAGCTCGATGGGGAGGGATCATTTTCTTCTTTTTTAAAACAGAATTCAGCCAGTGAGCAGTTATACAGCGCTTCCTTTCTTTCATAGCCTGTGAACCAGAAATATACATGTTATGTCATGTTAAATAAGTGGATGAACAGAAATTTTAATTGGATAAGACTTGGAACACAATCTAAAAATCCCACTTTATTTTTAATTCAATAAGATACAAACCCTTAAGGCTGAATGGGAGTAAGAATATGGAGTTTAAGTTAGCTCACAGCCGCAGAACAACATGGACCTGACACCACCATAAAGGAAAAGGAAGAAACAAAAGCTAAACAATAAATTCACCATAGCTCGATTTCATCTCATTCTTCCAAGCTCAATATATAAAACAATATGTCAAAGCAAACATATGCGGTTTGAACAAGTGTCTTTACATATACTGGTGTATAGGAGAAGCACTTATATGTGAAATTCTGTAACACCTAAGGAACTAAGCACTGGCTAGAACCTTATAACAACCTGTTCAAGTATTTTACAATTGAGAGCCCCACTCATTTCGTGACTGCAGGGATGTACAGAATTCCCAATATTCGATAAGCAGAATAAGAAGACAACACATATCAATGCATAAATACAAGAGGAGGTTAAAGTATGTGAACCACCAACCAGAAATCACAACAAGTGTTGCACAGAAGTCCATTATTCTCTTCATTTGATGCGTTGTCTAAACAATGCATAAAAACAGGGTGGTAAAATCTCATTGGTGCTTGTTTGTAAGGCGACTCTGCACACAAATCCGAGTAAGGAAAAGGGGGGATTCATTTTTTGAACATTTTCTTTATTGGGGCTGCTAAAGTATCTTACAAAACTAGATACAGTGTAACAGCTTACTGTGTGCTGTAATAAGGTTTTTATTTTAGGAACAACATGCAAAATGAAGTGTAGACATTCCACCCACCTGGGCATACATGCTGCTAACTTGGCTTTCACACAGCAGATGAGTACAGCGATTTGTAAGGGTAGGGTCAACTGTGCCACCATGAGTTTGAATTATCTTGAAAGAGAGAGAATATATTTTATATATACATACACAAATGACATTTCGAACAGAGCTCAATTTAATGGTGTAATGTAATTCTCCAGTGCAAAGTGTTACATTACGGAATATGAAATATGCCAACTGAATCTCTCCTGGTGTTCTACAATGTTCATATATAAATGTACTTAATGCCTGTTTCCTTTCTCTTTAGAACTTAGAGAATGAGACTTAAATGCCATAGATATAGAATGAAGAATACAAAGGTGAACTGTGTCACATGCTTGATGGACATTACATTTACAGATATCAGTGTGTGGAATGTTTTAACAACATGTATTTGCAAACATTATAGAATGCATTTTCAGAATGTCAAATGCCATGTTTTGCAGCTCTTGTTCCTGTACATGTGAATATAAGGATTCTCTCATGAGAAACATGAACACCACTAAATGATAGATAAAGAGAAACAATCACCAGGGTTACAAACGGAATTGAAATGTGAATGTTGAAATTTAAGTCTAAGTAGTCAATGAAATCACAGCTAACTTAGAGAAGTCTTACCCTTTTCCAGGTTGCAAGTAGTTGTTTATCAGACATCTGTTCAGGATAGTCAGCAATTGCAAACACACATCCCAACAAAAAATAGTCTTCAGGAACTATAAAACAGAAATGATGTGGGATATAAGAACATATTTGAACACTTGTAAAAAGACGGATATCGATTACATTACAAAAAAACAAAAACAAAGAGAGCCAGAATCCAGTGAGACATGCAGCATTAGTAACAGAATCCTTTTATCTATCCAACTATTAAGAATCTATCCCAGCCCAATAGGTCACCTTAACAGTCAATTCAGGACAATAGTGGCAGGAATACAGGTTCCTTTAAGCTTACATCCAGGTGTCCGCTGTGCACAATGTTAAGATACCACCATTAATTAAGACAGGCACACTTATGGGATTGTGGGATGCTCTTGCTAAAGGGATGATTAGTAGAGCTTGAAGGAACACTATAGTGTCAGGAACACAACCATGTATTCCTGACCCTCTAGAGTTAAAACCCCCATCTATCCCCCTCTGGTCCCCTAAATATAGTATAATCTTACCCTTAATCCAATCTGTTGCTACTGACTCTGCCCCTGACCTGCCTGCTTGTCTGACATAATCAGAAGTGGTGATCTGGGCCAATCACAATGTTTTCTTGACATGGCTGAGCTTGTCAAGAAGGCAGATCAGGGGTAGAACCAGCACAAGCCAAACACAGCCCTGGCCAATCAGCATCTCCTCATAGAAATGTGTCTATGAGGAAAGTTCAGTGTCTCCATGCAGAAGGAGGAGTCATTGAATGGCAGTCACACTGTGCAGCACTGCCCAAGAAAGCATCTCCTCTCCGAGGAGTGGCCAGTGGAGGTATCCCTAGGCTGTAATGTAAACACTGCATTTTCTCTGAAAAGATACTGTTTAATGCAAAAACCTTGAAGGGATGGATTATACTCACCAGAACAAATACAATAAGCTGTAGTTGATCTGGTGACTATAGTGTCCCTTTACGTATTAACAAGCACTGATAAATGCATCTGCATATAGCATAATAATTGTTTAAAATGCTGTATCTTGTAAAGCCTTTTAAATCTTTTTTTGATATATGCAGATGCATATATCAAAATAATGGGTTAAAAGCTTGAAGCACCATAACGGCTGTAGCTTGCTGCTTATTGGCTGAGACAGTTCTGCATGGACCAGCTTTGCTCTTTAGAGAAAACTGGATGCAGGCAATGCAGCAGCGGGCACCTGGCAAGACTCAGGTACGTTGTCAAACAGTACTAAACCACTTGATTTACCATGGGACAGAAACCAAGGCACTTTAGGCACCATAACTACTAGAGCAGGCTATAGTGGTCACTGTGCGTGGAGTGTTTCTTTAAAGCAATCATTTTCCAGTTATATACTCTAAATATTTAACTCACTTTCTATGGATGGATCATGCCCATGCAGCTGATGTGATTGCGGTGTTTGATGATTGATAATCTGATTGTGCAACTGCTGAGACATCTGATTCAGCTGCTGCTGCTGGGTCTGATTTTGCAGTTGGCGTTGCTGCTGTAAGCGCTGTAGTTGCTGCTGTTGAAGCTGCTGTTGCAGCTGCTGCAAGTTAGGCTTCTGCTGTTGAACCTGCTGTATCTGTTGGTGCTGGATTGACACCTGTTGAATCTGCGGGGCCTGCAGTGTTTGTTGCTGCTGAATTTGAGGTTGTTGGATCTGCTGCTGCTGAATTTGCTGTTGTTGTTGCTGCTGAATTTGCTGTTGCTGCTGTTGCTGAATTTGCTGCTGCTGCATTTGCTGTTGCTGCATTTGCTGTTGCTGAAGTGTCTGATGTTTTATTTGCTGTTGCTGTAGCTGGAGACTCTGCTGCTGAAGTTGATGCTGCTGCAACATCTGAGGTGGAATTTGATGCTGCTGATGAGCCTGTGCCTGGATCTGATGCTGAAGATTCTGTGACTGTATTTGATGAGTCTGTTGCAGTTGTGCTTGTATTTGATGTTGCTGCTGCTGCTGATTTTGAGGTTGTATGTGATGCTGCTGAGGAAGGCTCTGGGACAGAATTGTATGCGGTGGCTGCTGTAGAGTCGGCCCCTGAATCTGATGTTGCTGTTGAAGTGTTTGGGTCTGAATCTGATGCTGTTGCAAAGTTTGGGGCTGGAGCTGCTGCAAAGTCTGCACTTGAAGTTGCTGTTGTTGTAAGGTCTGAGTTTGTATTTGCTGCGGCTGCGGCGGCTGCTGCTGTAAGGCATGTGTCTGGACTTGCTGCTGCTGCTGCAGAGTATGTGGTTGAATTTGCTGCTGCTGTAGAGAATGCTGCTGAATTTGCTGCTTTTGCTGAAGCGTCAAATGTTGCATCTGCTGTATGTTCTGTTGTTGCTGAATCTGTTGTATACTTTGCTGAAGATTCTGCTGCTGGATTCCAGGCTGAAGATTTTGTTGTTGTTGCTGTTGTTGAATGGTTGTCTGTAAGGCTTGCTGCTGCTGAATTGTTGAATGCAGAGCTTGTTGCTGCATATTCTGCTGAAGTGTCTGTTGCTGCTGAATAGGCGGCTGAAGTGTCTGTTGCTGCTGTGGAGTTTGCTGAAGATTTTGCTGATGTTGAAGGATTTGTTGAAGGTTCTGCTGCTGAAGTGTTTGATGTTGTAGATTCTGCTGCAAGGTCTGCTGCTGTTGCTGCTGCTGTTGCTGTTGCAAATGCTGCTGCTGTAATTGATGAAGTTGTTGCTGTAGTGCATGCTGTTGCTGGAAGTGTTGAATTGTTTGTTGCTGTGGACGAAGTAACTGCTGCTGAGAAAACTGCAGTTGTGTGAAATGGTGTTGTTGGTTAGCTTGTGGAAACTGATGCTGAGGGAAAGCCTGTTGATTCATTTGCTGCTGCTGTTGTTGCTGTTGCAGTTGTAGAAGTTGTTGAGGTTGGAGTTGCACTAGAGGATGGTGCTGTTGTTGTTGTTGATTTTGATGGGACTGTTGCAACAATTGTTGATTCTCTGGCGTTAAGGACTTCACTTGGCTGAACAACACAGAATTTGGATGCCCTTGCTGTGGGTGATTAACTTGGTGCTCTAAACCTTTGGTAGAAGCCGACAAGGTTTGCAAAATCTAAAACAAAACAGAATCGAAGATTTTAAATAAAACATCATAATAAGTACAAACATTTTCCATTATTGTGCTCCACTCCAGATCACCACCAATCAACAAGTACACCCCAACAGACAGAATCGGTCATCTACTTGCTTTCAAAACCCTGAGTATTGCCTATAATATGTCTTTTACACAAAACCATCCATGCGCTACAGTCCAGTCTTTCAAGAAATTCCAAAAAGAAATAAAACCATACTACTTTACAGAAGCATATCAACCAACACTTATTTTTTTCCCCTCAGTTTCCCAAAGTCTTTGTCCCATCCCCTATGTATTTAGTAATTCTGTGTTTTTCTACAGTCCATGATGCTTTCCTATACAAAATGTATATACTGCATATTGTTATTACACCAAACAATTAGATTTTCTCACTCCATACACTACCCTCTGAGGTGTAACAAACATGACAAAGCAAACAGTACACATTCCTGATAATCCTAATACAGATATATAATAATATTGGATTCTAAAAGCAAAACAAAGCAAGAGAGTTGTCTCTCAATACTAAGGATTTATTATATCCCATCCTAAAAGGGCACTCAAGGCAACATAACCACTACAAATCAGTGAGGTGTTTCTCTGTGTAGTCTCTGGTAGCCTTTCACTGGCTCTTTGTCAAACCTTTCAGTAACGGTATGGAAAGGGCCTTTCCAGCATGCAGAGTCTAGCCCTATTCAGCTCCTATCAAACTACAAAATGTACACTTCTGCATTATTGCTCCAAGGCTGAACAAAACCTAAAAACTGCAGGTCTAAGATATGTACATGTACTGTAACCAGAGAATTTAGAACCAAAGCAATTTTATAAAACAAAATAGACATTTGGCGGATTGAATACATAAACACAAACAAAAGTTTACCTGTGCTACATTTGACGGTCGATTAATTTGCTGTATGTCTGCATTATTAGTGATATTCCTAAGTGTCCTCACTGCAGGACTACGAAAAGACATTATATCAGGCCTTTCCGGAGCTGGCGTTCCAGGGACCGAAGACAGTAAGTTGCTGCGGCCATCAGGAGGCAATATATTTCCTGGCACAGGTGGAACATTTGCACACAAATTAATCAGTCCAGAATCCTTGCCCTGCGGAAGTCTTCGCTTGGCAGCATTCACCTGTGGAACCTCTGCAGGCGTCCAGTTTAAATTTCTTTCTGGTTTTTCAGGGGAGGAGTCAGAGGAATCATCAAACATCAGTTCACCTTTTGTTTTGTCTTTGGAACTGCGTTTTGGAGAAAACTCTACATTGCTTACTGGAGAACCTTCACGTGAACTAACTGGGCTGGATTTAGATGAATATCTATCCTCTTCTCCACTAGCATTTTGAGAGTCTTGGTCTTCATTTAATGCATCTTCATCCTCCTCCTCTTCATAGACTATTAGACGAGGGTGGTACGGAGCTTCATCTTTTTTTGCTTTGTCAGATATAGAGTCCAAGACCCAGTCCGGAGTAACAATTTTTATGCTTTCTCGTTGATAAGCATATTCATACTTACTCTAAAAAACAAGCAAAGACATTTATTAGAGTGCATCATATTTCTAACACTGAATAAAACATTTTAGAAGGCCTAACAACATGTAACTTTCTTCAATTTTACATGAGGAGAAGAAATCACTAGCACATCAAGTTAAAAACATAACAGCATACATTTAAAATGGTAGTAATAAAACAGGAAACACATCAACAATTGGCCACTATATTCCCAACACAAATTCTGAATGTATTGCTTTAAAGGGACATTAAATGAATAGCAACACTTTAAAGTGACACTACATGACAAGGCAGGGTGTGCTTATATAAATAACAATTTATTTAAAATTAGCATTAATCTGTATAGAAAAATAATTGAAATACACCTTATCCCAACCTCTTCTGTCCTTCCTTCCTTCCCGTTTTTTTAGCATTCTCTACTTGCTACAATAGCACAGTTGTCCATAGCTTTCCATTAGAACTCTTATAGCTGCTGTGCAAATGTGTAAGCAACATGCATTACATAACTTTCAGGGTGACATTATTAACTTGTGAAAAAAGCATGATTCGTGTTTTTTAATGAAACTTTAGCTTGTAGAGTGCACATAAAGCACTTTAGCTTGTTGAAATACTTCAAAAGTCAGGAGTCTGTCATATTTGTGACAGTTTATATAAAGTGCCAGTTTCCATAGAAATCAGCACTTTTGTAACTGGGGGCATAAACACCTCCCTAGCTGTCAGGCAGACAGATGTTAGCTTCACTGTACTAACAGAATTGGCAGGCACCCTGGCTGGTGAGTTGCTGACTTCCCCCCTTCTCTTGAGTTTATTGAGAAGCATTGGAAAGCCACATTTGCGTGCATACTTGTAACTCCAGTACAGAGACTTGTCAACGAGAAGCATGATTGGCTTATTAAAGGGCTGGGGAAAGAGGAGAGAAGGAGAGGGACTGCCGTGGCTGCAGACAGACAATCTGTATCTATATATACCCCAAAGGAAAAATGTAGAATTAAAAGCATGTGTGTCTTCATTTTGGGTATAACTATTAAATAGTGCTTATTTTTTCCCAATGGCAAGTTCCTTTAACATAGACTTGTATGAGTGTGCAATCTCTAACAAAAGACATATGTATACCTAAAGGTTATGGAACTTACTGGTTATGCATTTTACTAGTGCAAGTCTATTTTTAAAAAACAAACAGTTTAATAAAATGAGTGATTGGTGACAATTATCCAACAATTTTAAATAAAAACCATATCTGATTGGCTGCCTGGGGTTTTGAATGCAGCAAAAAAAAGCAAGTAATCGAACAGCTACTTTTTCATCTCCTGCAGGTTTTCTAAAAACTAATACTATAGTCACTAGAACATCTACAGCTTATTGCACTTGTTCTGGTAATTATAGTCAGTCCCTACTAGCTTTTCAATGTAAACACAGCCTTTTCAGAGAAAAGACAATGGTTATCTAAAATCCTATGGACACCTCCAGTGGCCACTCCTCAGATGGCTACTAGATGTGCTTCCTGGGGAGGTGGTGCACAGTGTGCAGCATTCACATTCAGTGTCTCCACCCTCTGCATGGAGACACTGAACTTTACACATAGAAATGCATTGATTTATTGAATTTCTATGAGGAGATGCTGATTGGCCAGGACGGCATTTTACTCTGACCTCTAGCCCGCCTCTGTTCTATAAGAAAGCATTGTGATTGGCTGTGGTCATCAATTCTGATGACGTCAGCCAAGGAAGTAGATCAGGGGTAGAGTCAGCACCTGCAGACTGGAATAAAGGTAAACTTTTGCCATATTTATGAGCGCAAAGGGGAGCCAGATGGGACAAATTGTGGGTTTTAACACTATAGGGTCAGACATGCAGGTTTGGGTTTTTGACCCTATACTGTGCCTTTAAATTTAATATAAGTAAATTATTGTAAAAATAGTCATTCCAAAATGTATATGTATTTAGAAATGTGTACTTTATGTTTATCCATATATGGGTTTTTTTACGTGAACTATAAGCAGTGCTCTCATTTTGAAGTTTGTTTTTTTCCTCTAGACCCCCCACCCCCCCCCTTTTTTTTTTATTTAACAGTAACTTTGTTTCTTAGTTATACATAAATAGGGGAATACTGATCTTTGGCAATTAGCAGAATTTAAGAAGAGTTTCACTTCAGTTGCCAACATAATTTGCTTACAATCCATCAGGGTAAACTGCAGACATGCAACAAAAACAGAGAATATGAGAGCGCTAAGAGCAGAGAAAAGCTTGATACTTATCAAGAATGGGGAGAGGGGTGGAGTGGGGCACTATAAATAAAATGTACTATATATCAAAATATAATCCTGGAGTGTTCCTTTAAGCTTAATCGTTACTGTCTCTAAGATTATCCAAGCTCACTATTTTTTGAGCGCAAACTAGAAAATACAGTTCATGATCAGTACAGAAAAACAAATGCTCAAATGGTGGGGGAGGAGGGAGCAGGGGGAAATAACATCAACTTAATACCACAGTAAACATATCTAGCATCAAGAAGAGCAAAGAAAAACAAAAATTTATAATTCAGAAGCAATGAGACAACTTTTAGATCAAGCTTGAGTTATTTTGGACAATGTTAGAATACTAAATAGAAAAAGCAAACACTAACCAGAAGTTAGACATTAAAGATTAACCCTTCTAAGAACCTCAATTCACTAGAAGAAGAAAAAAAAAAAAAAAAAAAAGATTCTACCGCACCACTGACTAAAATCCTGCTCCAGTACTGGATAGCAACATAACTGCCAAGATGGAATAGGCATGTGCTCGAGGTCACCAAAAAAATAATAAAAAAAGTCTACAATATTGACCAGAGTTGGATCAGGGAACAAGTCTATGACTATGCTACTCAAAATACAGACAGTCGTTTGTAAGGTGACTATAATTAAAGTTTCACTTTAACGTATTTCCTTAACAAAGAAATAAGCATTTTATATTTTTTTATCATAAGGCATGTCTAGGGTTAGTAGTGGATACATTGCCAGCAGGAGACTAGGCCAGTTAGGCTAAAAGAAAAAGAAAATATGAAAACTATTAAAAGTGAACATTTTATTAGGACACCAGGTGGAAAATTAGCTAGACAGAGCTTGCACCTTTCCACTGAAGAAAAACACAAACCTATATGTTCAAAAAGCATGTCAACTACACAATCAGAACAAGAAGAGCTGTATAGACCATCACTGATAACAATACAAAAGAGAAGGTACGGAGCCTTATGCCCCAGCACACATAGAAGAAGCAAGGGCCTTTATATTTAAATATATGGGGCTTGTCACGATAAACGAAAACACCACGGCTGATACGAGCCTATTAGGCCCCTACCAATGTACATATGCGAAAACTCAACATAGGGAAAACCGTGACATCACTCATATAACTTACAAAATTAAGATGTGCAACATGTAATTGCAATAATTGATTTATTAATGTTAAAATCCGATATAAGAAATGCCTTCTAACATGTCATACTCACTGTACTCAACTTAATAATGTAAGTGACTTCCACAGTGAAGGTTATTCTTGCTCAACCATGTCCTAAGTAGCACAGGCCTTTTCTTCCCAACACTGCACATTTAAGATGGCTTATAAGCACTGTTCCCTCCGAGCACGTGTACACAATTTCTCGATGGAGCGCACAGAGGTTTCGATCTGTGTACAGCACCTTGCAGCATCCGCCAAAAGATTGTGCGTCCCGTGAGAAGCGGTTCAATGGCTGTAACAGGGGGCCCAGAAAGAAGCAGGAGATAGAGAAAAGGCATCCAGCAGGGGTGGCGAGGGATCAGTGATGACATGTTTCCAGTTCCTCTTTGCTCCCTTGCGCGCCCTGTGCAGTGATGTCAGGAGACGGAATATGAGGTGACTGTGGCCCTGACATAACTTATGGGGTACATGAGGGAGCAGAGAGGAAATGGAAGATCCATTCCGCACTAAATCCCAGGCAGACAATCCCAACTGGACCCCAGTGAGAGCAACTACACCAACTGTCCTAAAGGTATGAAGGCTGGATGGGCCTAAAATAAATAAATGGAATGTGTGTGTGTACGCAAGAATGTGTACATGTGTAAGTCGGTCAATGAGTGTTTCAAATCAGTGAGATTGCGTGTGTGTTAAAAAAGCATTAATAGGCAAAAAGCTACTTTTGAAAAATCTATGGGTTACATTTCTCCATATAATGTTTACTACTGGTATCCACTGAATTGGGTTGTTGGTTTCACCTGAGTGCTTTGGACATATCCCATCAAATGAAGATTTTTGTTTTTAAGAAGCATTCATAACTTAAATGCTTAATTAATAAATATCACCATTTATTGGGCAGAGCTGACTTTGCAAATTCTTTGGTGACCTGACATCTCTCCATAAACGGTTTGCTATAATTGTGTAATCTGAATTTGATCTATGTGTAAGAAACATTTAGTATGTATAGATCACCATTTATTGGACTGCATTCACTTTTTCTGACAAGCTGGGGAATTAACACGCTTGCCCAAATACAGTCAACAAGCTACCAATGTTATCTTTTGGCTGAAGGAAAGGTCAATTTATTTTATGGATTAAATTGCCTATTTACTGTGATGAAGGTGGGGCTGAAGCTTTTTTTGGCAAAATATAGAGGCAACAGGATGGAAAACTCTTTTAATTGGATGTACCCTAGTCTGCCAGTTGCTTCCTATTGCTTTTTATGGACTGTCTTACATACCAAAATGGGCATTAGCAGAGAGGCTTGTCTGAATGGCTGACAGTACAGTAATACTGCTGTGTAACTACTAACATTACATTATCACATAGTAATACTGTAATGTAGTTTTATAAACCATGAGAGAGAGGCTGTGCTGTACAAAAATTACCAAGAAACAATTTCAAGTTTACTTTTGCACAAACATTCAGTGCACACAAGATTTTGGATCAGTAAAAACTCTCTGCGCACACCAACTAAGAAAACACACACACACACACACACACACACACACACACACAGTGCACTTTTGGAGTGGAATAAAAAAAATAAAAAAAAGCACTTTCAGTTTTCAGAAATATAGTTAGAAGGGAGAGACGTCTTGACATATACAAGGTTTATATACATTTAAATATAATGGTTTCTGCACTTAAACTGCACTCTGATGCATGGTAATTGTTTGGACAGGTTTATGAATTAAAATAAGTTCAGCTGAGTACCTGTTAGGATTATATAAGGAAAATTAAACTTTCAAATAGTAATTTTAAGCCTAGTTTAACAGGATTTTTTTTTTTTTTTTTAAATAGAAAACCACACACATAAAATAAAAAAAAAAAATGCAACTGATCCTTACCCCCTTTGGCTCAGGAACAATTAAATGAGTACATTTTTTATTGAGACTAAGTTGACAGTCCGCTCCATGAAAAGTAGTTAAGGCCCAGAGAGAATTACGATCCTCAGGGGAAACCTGTAACATAAGAACAAACATATTACCGGTACTTGAACACATGCTAGAAGCAGATATAAAATAACTACAATCATCTGTACATATATATCTTCCTCCATCAGGCTTAAAATCGATAAAAACATTTTTGGTGATTTAGGAGAATAGCAAAATTTAATTAAAAAATAAATAAAACAAAAAGTGATGATTTATGCTAAAATATATGAACTGCTGTCAAGCCACCAAACTGCTTAATTAGCAATGCAGTCACTAAACTTTTATGGAAAATTAACAATAGAATTGAAAATGTTTTATGATGTTTAAGTTACATTTCTTTAAAAAAAAAAAAAAAGGTATAAATTGTGGAGATTATTTTTTTTCTTTAAAATAGCCAAATTTTGGGCTACAATCTGCTACTCATAACATTACAACCACTGGCTTTAATGCATTTGAAGGAAGTTATTTATATATAAAAACGTGACTTTTGAATGTATTGCAGCAGCAATTCACAGGCAATCAGCAGGAGAAAGTCCCTCCCAAATAAGTAGGAAAAGGCTCCACAAATAAGAAAACACTCATTCAGATCTGTGTGGTTTGTTCTTATCCCATACACCAGTTTAAAACAGGGTGCTTAGAGTGACTGCCGAAACCTCCCACTTACTATGGGGTGGTTCACCTATCAATAAATATACCACCCTTACTAGTGGAGTGTTGCCTGCATTTATCACTAGACTGGTGGATCCACCCAATAATAAATGAATATGGTTATATAATTCTAATTACATTAAAAAAAAAAAAATGAATGAATGAGAAAAAAAATAAAAAATCCTTAAGAGATAGATATATAAATAAATAACTCAACCCAAAGAAATAGAGAGTATGTCTCAAAAAAAAAAAAAAAGGGATGAAAAAATAAATCCAATGTACAGGGAATCCTAGTATAATCCACTGAGTGTATAGGAAATTGTAGCCAAAAATTGTAGAAAAAAAACATAAGGCAAACTTGTGAAAAAAAAAAAAAGTCCAGAGAAAATAATAGTTTACTTTAAATTAAGCTGAGGTTTTTCTGGTCACTACAGTGTCCCTTAAATATGTCCTCTGGCACTCAGTACTTATTTTAAACAGTTCAGCAGCTTTACATGGAATGTAGAAATGTTTTAACGGGTTGTGGAACCCTCTTCTGTGGATTTAGTCACATTATATTTAATCCCCACCCACATTTTCTTTTTAAATACTATAATGCGTGCCAGTCTTCAAATATAATTGTATTGTGGGGGTAAAGGTCACTATTTCATGCAGGTTAATTTCTCATTCTTATTAGATCATCTTCTATTCATCTTCTATCGTTGTACCCTTTATAATATATCTGGAGAAGCCAACCAACCAGGGATGTGATCTTGCATAAACTTGCCCCTGACCATGCAGCTCATTTGCATGCATAGTCACAGGGGGTACATAATTGAAATTCATGTTCAGTCCAACTTTAGATTAGCTTGCACTTCTGCAATATTTTATATGGCTCTTTTTATGGCAGACATAACCTTTATGGTTTGTATAATTCACTCGGTCCAAATGTATGCATTAATGGATGCCAAAACTATACATTAAAGGAAAAGTATAAAAATGTTTTTAAAAATTGAATAATACAACACAAAAACATGAATCAAGTAAATAAAATTAAATTTGACATTTCTTCATTATTTTGAAACACAAAAATAAACCTTAACGAAACCTTCACTGCTCCTACAAAAATGAAGATTTTATGTAACATAACCTTGTCTTTGTGTCATGTCTCGTATAAATAACTTTACAATGTAAAGGAGTTAATAGTAAATGAAAGTCATACACACTATATATGTAGCAGCACCATTTACAATCTGTTACATTCTATATACATACCTGTGAGAGGCAAGCAGTTACCCCAAAAAAGATCTGACCAGATTCCGGAGAGAATCCATTTTCACTGTTTGTATTAATTAAGGAACATGGTTTTAACAACATTCACATAGATGAGAATGACCTGAACACATGTATTTGCCTAGACAGATTAGGGATGCAATATAATACATCTCTTCCAAATTTATATCTGTACCTAGACTGGAGATGACTATAACTTAGAACTAAAGAGGTATGCACGTAAAATAAAAATACCGTAATTAATCTATTTGCTCATATTTGGCAGGTATTGCAAATGAAAAAGAAATAAAGCAAATGGGTTTTAAAAAAGCAAGAAAAAGACAAAACTGACTAAGAAACATTGTTAAATAAAATGTTAGGTTAGACCTGCATGCAAGCTATAAATATGAACTCATTTTTAGTTAATGACGGAGTCCAGTTGGATGATATTACGTGAACGGAGTGGAAGATGTGTGGATGTTATGGATACCTACTTATTCAAAATACACCACTGTAAATTTCTTCCAGTGGCAATGAATGCTATTTTTCTAGTATTGTGACTGTGTACCATGACTATGACACATATCAAGAGGAGAAGTACTGCTTGGTAGTGTCTTGTCTAATTTGATGTACTATATCAATATCCGTAAATAAAAGTATTAGTAGGTGACATTTTAGGATGTAAATGCTAAAGCTTTTGTTTTAAAGTATTAATATAACTTTTGAGAGAGGAGACCTTTCCTAGGTAATATGCCCTATTGGGCACTGTGGAGAAGCTGCCCTCCCCCTCTCAATTTGCAATTAAAACCTTATTTATTGCTGGTTTCACTCATCTGGAATCCTATCCCAGACAAAGTTACCAACGCTGATTTTCCACACACCCTCTGACATCACTGGTGCCGAAAGAGGTCCAATCACAGGCTTCTAATAGAAAAGCCTTTGATTGGACCATTTCACCTACTCAGATCTCATGGGCACAGTCTGGGCAAGCGAGGGAGGTTTTTTTTCTTAAACAAAATGTGGAACGGAGAAGGCAAAAGGGAATGCAGAGAGGGTGGGTGGGTAGAGCTACGTCTGTTGTCAGGAAGCAGTGCGCGCTAACAGACATATTTTATGCACAGAATTCTGGACTTCCAATGTCACGTTTGCTGAGGGTGCAACCAGTCCCCAGCACACAATTACAAATGTCTCAGTATGTGCAGTGTTTCAAGCTGACCTCTACCAGCATGACCACTTCAAATCAAAACCTTTGAAGTAATAAATAGGCAATATATATTTAAAATCATTTATCATGCAACTTGCATTTGAAGTCATTATCTGGCTCTTCATGCACTAATAAGCCTATGGTAAGTCTGTTTGCCAGATTAAAATCGTAATTTATGGTTTTATTCATATTCAGGTGCACCAGCCTCCCCTCCACCTCTACAGTGGTTTTCTGCATAGCACACTTAGAATTATTGTATATTGTGTTGTCTGGGCTTCACCAGTTTCCCATGATCAGCTATTCATTACAGTCAGACTGGATTAGCATCACACATATAATGTGTGATGTGAATTTAACAGGACTATTATTTAACAGACTTGAACTTTCAACTTATTCTCCAATCCTCAAAAAATTAAAGCTCTTTTTTTACACCCAAGTATCTTTATACAAACATTTAGATCTAACATTTTTAAAAATAATACAATTACTTTGATACCCATGTGACTTACAGCAAATGGAGGGACCATATGTGTTTTTCTGAAGCATATGTACTAGAACACTGTCTCGCACTGGCCTCCGGTGCTTGTTTACAAGATCAAAAAAAAAAAAAAAAGTAGTTCTAGTGCTAGAACTACTACTTTTAAGGCATCACCAAAGGCATGTTTGTTTCTAAATAGTACAAAATAAAACTTTAGGTTTACCATAGTAAAGCTTAGATCAGGATGATGGAAAGAAACTCTGACCTAGAAAAATGCAGGTGCTCTCAAGTAAGAGAAAACACGCACAGTTTTTTTTCCTCTAAAGATTGAACTGCTATAAATAAAAGGTTGATCAGTTATTTACTAAAGTTAGAATCTAAGGCCTATACAGGCCAACTGGAAGCATAGATAACGTGCAAATAGCTTATTTCACCAAATGAGCTATTCTGGCCTTAAATTAGAAATTCACTTCGAAAACTTTAGTAAATAATCCAGTTTCCAACTCACTGTTGACTGGCTTAAAGTGCACTTGTCTGCTATATAAAAGGTGTGGATGGCGAAAGATCCAATTCAAGTAACCAATACATGCTAATCTAGAGAACGTCAAAGCAACATGTAAAGAGGAACACATGTTACGTTTGCTCTCTCTATGATGTTGTAAATGGAACCAGAAGTCTTGGCATACAGCCACATATAAAGCACTGTGGCTTTACACTGATACACCAAGTCCAGTGCACTGCCAGAGAAAAATCAACAAAAAAATAAAAATCATCATCATCTATGCATTTGACTTTTTAAAACTATAAATATTTTATTACATATTTGGTGTCACTATGTAATTTTTATATAACATTTTATATAGTACTACAGCGTTCGGTAGTTACTTCATCTGCCCCAGTATAAAATAAGTTCTAACCAAAACTAATTAGCAAAATAGCTCAAGAATATTAAGAATAGCCCCACAAATATTCAAAGAGGCTCCAAGTTAACAATGACTAGGCTTTTATATATTGAGAACATATTGAATTCCAGAAGTCTGTTTTAATTTTACAACACACAATTCTTGAAAAGTTGTTTTCTGCATAGCACACTCCCCTTTGTATTTTGCTTCTAAAATTGGTTTCATGCAGGCTTGTGACAATCAGAATGGAGAAAGCATAAAGTATTACAAACGATTTCATAAAAATAAAAAAAAATTTTTAAAAAGAATTTATATGAGAAACTGAATTTTAAAACAAAAGGATACGGAAGGCGGGCACCACAACGAACAGATAATGTGACCCAGGAAGGCTGCAAAAGAAAATATATAACAATTAGCAATCGTTTTCCACAATATATAGTTAAAAATACAATAATTTTCTAAGAAGAATATGAATCATGAACCCTTAGTACTTATTGAAAATAAATAATAAAAAAACACCCATAATGCATCCATACACGATTTAATGCTTATTATTCAAAATAAGCTTATGTTGACAGAAAGAAATACATTGAATATAAAGTAGAAGTTTCTCTTTAAAATTTGTTACATTTTATCGCAACTCTTAGCGCTTATGACTCAAGAAGGAAATAGGTGCAATCGCTTTGTTTTAGTGAAACTGATATATACTTACTATGGCACATTTTCTCACATCAAATTTACATTGTTACAGAAGAATACATCTCGTGTTTTTAATAGCATGCATAAGTATAGTCATTTCCCTTTACTTTAAAAGGGGACCCTATAGTCACCAAAACCACTACAGCTTAATGTCCCTGCATGCCTTTTAATATAAACAATGCCTTTTCAGAGAAAATGCAGTATTTCCATTACTGACTAGTTACACCTCTAGTGGCAGTCACTCAGACGGGTCAGTGCTGCACATTGTTCAGTCACTGGCATTCAGCAAACACTCACCATAGAGATGCATCTCTGTGAGGAGATGCTGAGCTTCCAATTGGAAAGCACTGGATTGAGATAATCAAATCTGATTATCACAGTCATGGAGGAGGAGCGAAACCGGAACGATGCTCAAAAAAAAAGATGAGAAAAACAAAATTACTTTTTAGGGTAAAGCAAGGGGGCCGGGGTCTAAATACTGATTTTAAAATTATGTCAGGAATACAAACTACAGTGCTTCTTTAACCTTTTAAGGACACATGACATGTGTGACATGTCATGATTCACTTTTATTCCAGAAGTTTGGTCCTTAAGGGTTTATTAAAAGAGCACTCCATCTTGCACATCGAAAAAAAAAAAAAAAAAAAAAATGGTAATATGTATTCATTGGGGGTATATCTTAAAAGAGCTTGCAAAAGCTGCAGGTCTTATGAACTGCAGCCTTAGCAATCCCTACCCTATTTTCCCAGAAGAGACTTTCAGGCTTTTCAAAGAGGAAATAAATTCATGGAGAAGGCCCTTGTCCGCACCAGTTCATGTGAATGTGCGCATGTCTAGTCTTAGGTTTGTGGAGGAGTGGGAGGCAGGCACACTCAAATAGATCGTGCCTGCCACTTCCATTAGTTCAGGGAGCTAACAGAAAGAAGCTGCAAACCTCCCTGGCTGTTAGACAGGGTGATGTTCCCTAGTTAATTTATAAAAGTGACGATTTCTCATAGAAATCAGGAATTTTATAAACTGGCGTTAAACTAGGATACTCCTCACCTATAAACACTTCAGCGGGTTGAAATTTTTGATTTTTACATTTTATATTGAAGGTCACAGGAGCCTGCTTATATTTGTGCTGAAATGAAGTTCTACAAGAACTAAAAATTGCATTAATGACTTTGAAGAATTTTCTAACTTGGACTGGGATTATTTCACAAAATTAAATTTTACAGTTTGGCTTCAGCCTCAGGTTATGGCACCCACTGTGATGAAAACAGCCTGAAGCTATTTCTGTTCTATTGAAGCTCTAATATTTCTGCTGGAGAAATCTCATTTAGTTTTTTCAAAGAAGCTTTGAGTTTTCCCAGAACTAAAAATCTTTTCTTTTTTTTTTTATATGCAATCACAGTAACAATACTTGACGTACCAAGGAATCTAGCACACATAAAAAGGTATCTGTAAAAATGAGGATTTATTTTTCATTCCTAAATCTACAGTGCCCTGTCCCTAACTTAATGGGACACCCTTCCTCTGATCAAGAAAGTAAGAGTTAAAAACCTATTTTATTTAAACTTTCCTCTTCTCAATGCTAGCTAGATTTCCTCCCCTTGCAGTGTCACAGCAATGGGAGGATCTAATGCATATGTGCAGCGAGTTATTGCTTTCCTATGGTGAATTTGAAGGCGTTAGATATCCTCATGCAAAACATAAGGATGTCCAACGTCATTTAACGGAGTAAAACTCCATTAGGGACATGAAAGACAACCACTATAGGTGGAGTAAAACGTAAGTCTTCTCTTTAGGCACAAATGTGCAAAGCACCGCAAAACAAGCCCTATTCATTTTATGACCATTTTAACCTGGCTTTCTAGAAGTGAGATACATTGTAGGATTACTATGTATTCATAATTTAATTTCAAATGTTCGTAGTAATTAACATGAAATTATATTTGAGTTCTTGTTGAATAATAACAGACCCTACATTAGAGTATCCATGACAGGTAAACATTTTTTATTATCCTTTCATCTTGACTTATGTAGGTTAAATTTAACTAGGTTCCATGTATAACCTGAAAAACCTTGTGAGTAGAATAAGTAAGAAGGGAAACACCAAGCTTGAATACATTTTGTGCAGAGGAAAGGGCTATACGCTATAGTAACAAGAAAATCGAATCATTCTATCCACCAGTTCTTTCTCTCATGGTACAGTGGGAGCAAGCTGTGTGAACGGTTAGACATCTCACATTGCAATCTAAGCTCCTGGAGTTTGGGGGAAAGAAATCAAGCTAAGGGACTTTACCCAGAGCTTCCTAGCTTCTTGATAACTGCAACACTAATCTTTAATATCAAACATCTGACCTGAAAGTGACTGACATTTATTTAATTTATAAGAATACGTTACTAAAGCATAAATCAGCAAGGTTTTCCATATTGGTAGGGTTGATCTATCTATATAAAAATCGGTTTGTCTCTCTCTCTCTCTCACAATTTTCATAATTTCACTAAATTTGAAATGAGCACCAGGTCAACGTTAAAGAGACTCTGCTGCCTACTCCGGTGAGTATAATACTACCTTTATTACTTTTCAGCACCCAAATCATACAATGACTATGTATTTATTTATTTATTTATAAGAACTACACAACTTATTTTGTTTTCCATTGGATAATTATAGAGTTCTAAAAAAGGCAATCTAAACAACGTTAGCCAAATTTACTAGTTTTGTGTATATATCATGTCCCAGCAGGCTCACTTGCCTGGTATTTAAAAATAAACCTATTTATTTCTGCAGCCCTAACAACATTCTGTGTGATATTAGACAAAGAACTCAAAAGTTCACAAGAAACAAGTATTATTTGAAATGTGCAGAATTGTCAGAGAAGCTCATTTTGGGACCTATTACACCAATGCGTTTTATTAATTTTATTCATATAATGTGTAAAAGACTCAGTAATTTACTTTAACTCTTTGTAGTGGGGGAACCTTTTGTTTGTAAAATGTTCTATTGGGCACTATGCACAAGGTCTTCCTGCTCTTATTGCAGTTGAACTTGTGAAAAAGGTTTTTCACTTACCAGGATTTCAGCATCAGGTGAAGCTCCCAGAGCTCCCTTCCACATTCTCATGTCACAGGACCCATGCTTAGTCCATACACAGGCTTCTCACCAATTGCTGGCTCAGAGCAAGGGGCTAGCTTCCCTTTGAGGGCACTCTGACTATCAGGGGAAGATTTTTCATGTCAGCAGCATGATTTATGCACAAAATTCATATTAGGCAGCCCAGATCCAATTTCACGTGGGCTTGGGTGTGCAACTTAACCCAGCACACAAGTGACTATTAGTCTGGAAGTGCAGTGTTTCAAGCAGAAACACTGCACATACATAACCCTACCACCATGACCATGTAAAATCCCTAAAGTGGTCATGGTGATTGGAGTAACTCTCCAATGATGTTATATATTTGCATACCAACAACTGTTTTACATATTTGTATATCTTCAAATGGGATGCACAATGCTTCTCTATGAGAAGCATTTGATTTTAAAAACGAATGCATAGTTATTTTTACTGCCTTATTCTGTATTTTTAACCTACTCTTTACCACTACAAGCTCTATATTCAGCACAATGCCTAGATCATTTTAAATTCCTGTAATTTTCTGACCAAATCAGTAATTTGCACAAAGATACTGTATTGTTTATTGCATAATTTTAATAACCTACTTTCACAATTGGAAGATCAAAGACTTCCCGTGCTTCCCCAACTTCAGGATTGTCTCCATCTTCAGCGATAATGTGTGTAGCTAACGCATTGTATGAAACCTCTTTCGCTTTGCCAGCTTTCAGCATCTGAACAACCTACAAAATAACATCAAATATGCAGGATTTAGGGGAGAAAACAATTCAACCATTGGGTTCTACAATGCACAACTCACTTGTCAAATCTCCAGCTCTGTAAGGTACAGCTTGACAAGCAACAGAAGCCAGGAAGTCATGTTTCCCAGAAATACACAGAATCAACTTATTGCATGTTGGGGTTTGCCTAGCCTATAAATTCAAATTCTCGTGAGCCTAGTATGCAGCACGGAGTGTTGCCGTAGTAACATGCGGCAACGCTTTTACAGCCGTGGGATCACAAGAGTTCGAGAGAGATGTTGAAGATCGCATGCACTGGTGCCTCCACTACCACAGGCACTATTGGCAATATTATCATTATGAGTCAATATTTGCCAAAATCCTAAATGTATGGCAATAATAATAATAATAATAATAATATCAGCTAAACTGATAATTGGTCAATCCCTAATTGAGATAATGCACAAATAAACCCTGTGAAAGTTTCTAATTAAAGGGCCACTATAGGCACCCAGACCACTTCCATCTAGTTTTAACCCTGCCTGCTGTAAACATAGCAGTTTCAGAGAAACTGCTATGTTTACAAATGGGTTAATCCAGCCTCTAGTGGCTGTCTCATTGACAGCCGCTAGAGGCGTTTCCGCGCTTCTCACTGTGATTTTCAGTGAGAAGACGCCAGCGTCCATAGGAAAGCATTGAGAATGCTTTCCTATAAACTAGCTGAATGCGCACGCGGTTCTTGAGGAGGAGAGTTCCCCGCACTGATGGAGCGCCGCGGGGGAAAACAGGTAAGATTTAACCCCTTCCAGCCCCTAGAGCCCGGTGGGAGGGGGGCGCTGAGGGTGGGGGGGACCTAGAGACCCTATAGTGCCAGAAAAACGAATATGTTTTCCTGGCACTATAGTGGTCCTTTAAGTTGACACTTGCAGAAGAAAGTAGAAGGCAGGTCCTTCTCTCACCAAGGAAAGACTGCGCAACCAGGAGTCTCATTGTGGTCTAGCATGTAAGCTCATTGAGCAGGGCCATCAACCCCTCTGTTACTGTGTCCAACTTGTCTGGTTACAACTACATGTCTGTTCATCCACCCATTGTAAAGCGCTGCGGAATTTATTGGCACTATATAAATAATAACATAATAATGTAGTCTGCTTTTATCCCATCAAACTTTGTCTATCAGGAGTTTATATTAGAAGTAGTTTATTCCCCAAAAGTAGTTCCACTCATCATACAGGACAAGTGACGTTGCTCTGTAAACCGATAACAGCCATAACTAATTTCAAACAACAATTTCATCAGCCCTGTAACCTTTTTTGTGGCATTGTTTACGCAGGGCCAGAAACATGCCTCCAGTGGCTGTCAGGCTGATAGACAATGGACACATTTCCTCTTCAAGACTTTCAAATGTTGAATGTTTTCACATTTGTCAGAATATCAGAAACATTGTATTGATCCACTGCATCACACATCAGGATTATCTCGGAAGTCGAGGCACAGTTGCTGCAAAGAGACTGCCATGGTCCTGGATTACATGTATGTAAAACAGAGTTTTTTTTTGTTTGTTTTGTTATTTAACAAGGGGGTGAGAGACTATAACCAAACATTAAAAATAAAAAAAATGTTTAATTTTAATGCTAGAGTATCATACTTTCAATGCACTGAAAGGTCCTAATTGTTTTTTACGACTTCCAAACAAATAAAGTGAAAATTAATAAAGGACATTTTTTATTCAATTTTCAAAAGGGGGAGATGTTGTTTTGGTAGAGTTGTGCTGCAAATACTTGAGTTTGTATAAACCACAATAATATTTTTTTAAACAATAAACTATCAATGAAGAATATTTTTATGTACTAGCTTGTAGTAGAATTACTCAGTCTGAATTGCCCCCTTTGGTGACAAGAAGCACAGACTGAGCAACCCAATGTTAACCAACAGAGTGAGGGTCACTATTTAGCAGGAAGTGCCTGCATTACGTCATCACCCTCAGCCCTTGCTACCCACAGCCTGTCAGTTAAGCTCACTATATGGCAACCAATATCCTCAGGCTCCATAAAGCAGCCCAGGCACAGTGATGGCTTAGCAGTTAACCCCTTACTCTCCACCTGTGGCTGACTACATTTCCCATGATGCTCAGCCAGCTGATATCAAGGAGGGGTTAATTAGAGCTAGATCTCCAACTGTTATAGAACTTTTAACTCCCATGATGCTTTGGCAGTCATGAGCCAGGCTGAGCATGATGGGAGTTGTAGTCCTGGTACAGATTATGGTATTTTAGTCAGTTTTGAGTCCTGAGTCAGGCTGAGCATGCTGGGAGTTGTAGCCCTGGTCCAGATTATGGTATTTGAGTCAGTTCTGAGTCCTGAGTCGGGCTAAGCATGCTGGGAGTTGTAGTCCTGGTCCAGATTATGGTATGTTAGTCAATTCTGAGTCAGGCTGAGCATGCTGGGAGTTGTAGTCCTGGTCCAGATTATGGTATGTTAGTCAATTCTGAGTCAGGCTGAGCATGCTGGGAGTTGTAGTCCTGGTACAAATTATGGTATGTTAGTCAGTTCTGAGTCCTGAGTCAGGCTGAGCATGCATGGAGTTGTAGTCCTGGTACAGGTTATGGTATGTTAGTCAGTTGTGAGGCCCAGAGCCGGGCTGAGCATGCTGGGAGTTGTAGTCCTGGTACAGGTTATGGTATGTTAGTCAGTTGTGAGGCCCAGAGTCGGGCTGAGCATGCTGGGAGTTGTAGTCCTGGTACAGGTTATGTATGTTAGTCAGTTGTGAGGCCCAGAGGGGGCTGAGCATGCTGGGAGTTGTAGTCCTGGTACAGGTTATGATATGTTAGTTATGAGGCCCAGAGCCGGGCTGAGCATGCTGGGAGTTGTAGTCCTGGTACAGGTTATGGTATGTTAGTCAGTTGTGAGGCCCAGAGCCGGGCTGAGCATGCTGGGAGTTGTAGTCCTGGTACAGGTTATGGTATGTTAGTCAGTTGTGAGGCCCAGAGCCGGGCTGAGCATGCTGGGAGTTGTAGTCCTGGTACAGGTTACGGTATGTTAGTCAGTTCTGAGGCCCAGAGGGGGCTGAGCATGCTGGGAGTTGTAGTCCTGGTACAGGTTATGGTATGTTAGTCAGTTGTGAGGCCCAGAGGGGGCTGAGCATGCTGGGAGTTGTAGTCCTGGTACAGGTTATGATATGTTAGTCAGTTGTGAGGCCCAGCCTGGCACTAGCCACACTCACTCGCCTACCTGAGGATCCAGGTCGCCCACTGGGTAATACTTGACATCTTTGAAGAGTTCCTCGGGGACCTTGGGCTCGCCCTCCGCCATGTTGCCGCCCGGACTGGCTCTGATAACATGCCCGGGGTCCGGGCTCGCTGTCAGGCGGGAACTCTCCACACGGTCAGCAGAGAGCGCGCCGCGGAGCGTACCACTGCCAGGCACGGGGGGGGAACCTCGCTGGCCCCGGGGACCCAGGCAGGCTGGCTAGGGAAACAAGTTAATAACACTGCGGGGAAACACTCTGTGATTACACCGCCGTACACCGAGCGAGAGGGGGGATCGGGTTATGGGAGGATACCGTTATACCTCCCCCCTCCGTTACACATGGTACAGTCCGCCAGCGCCTGCCCTATAAACACACGGGAAGCGCAGGGAAAGGCGCCTCATTAGGATGTCACAGCCTGAGAGACATCTGCTGCCACTGACTGCATCCCCCATCATACTGACTGCATCTCCCATCATACTGACTGCATCTCCCATCATCCTGCTACCACTGACTGCATCTACTATCATCCTGCTACCACTGACTGCATCCCCATCATCCCCCATCATCCTGCTACCACTGACTGCATCTCCCATCATCCTGACTGCACCCTACATCATCCCTGCTACCACTGACTGCATCCCCCATCATCCTGACTGCATCTACCTTCATCCTGCTACCACTGACTGCATCCCCATCATCCTGACTGCATCTCCCATCATCCTGCTACCACTGACTGCATCTCCCATCATCCTGACTGCATCTCCCATCATCCTGTTAACCACTGACTGCATCCCCCATCATCCTGACTGCATCCTCCATCATCCTGCTAACCACTGACTGCATCCCCCATCATCCTGCTAACCACTGACTGCATCTCCCATCATCCTAACTGCACCCCCATCATCCTGCTACCACTGACTGCATCCCCCATCATCCTGCTAACCACTGACTGCATCTCCCATCATCCTGACTGCATCTCCCATCATCCTGAGAGCTCTGACTGTATCTCCCATCATACTGAGAGCTCTGACTGTATCTAACCATACTTCTAGCTTATACTGAGGCCTGACTGCCTCTTCCATCATACATCTCCCATCATAGTCATCTATCTGTTCCTGAGAGCCCTGACTGCATCTCCCATCATACTCAGCTATTTGTTACTGAGAGCCCTGACTGCATCTCCTATCTCATCATACTTGGCTATTTGTTACCGGGAGCCCTGACCGCATCTCCCATCCTACCGGGAGCCCTGACCGCATCTCCCATCCTACCGGGAGCCCTGACCGCATCTCTCATCCTACCGGGAGCCCTGACCGCATCTCCCATCCAACCGGGAGCAATGACAGCATCTCCCATCCTACCAAGCTATCTGTTGCTGCATACTGCTGGCTTATACTGAGCCCTAACGGGTGGGGGGTGGGTGGGTTGGTTCTCCTATCTCTCCCAACGTTCGTTCAGTGTCTCCTTTTCCAAAGACACCTCCTCCCTTCATCCTGTCTCGTTTGGAGTCCCTCAAGGATCTGTTCTTAGTCCCCTTCTGTTTTCTCTTTTTTATAATATTATGTTTACAATATTATGAGAGGGGGATGTAACTATAAATAGGACAATTACAAGAACACTTACAGGAACAATAGGTTGAAGAGGATCCTGCTCAAACGAGCTTACGGTCTATAGGAGGTTGGGTATAAGACACATTAGGACAGGGAATAGCAATCAAATAAGGTGGGAGTGAAGCAGAGCTGGAGGAGAGAGTAAGGCGCTGCCCTATAGGAGAGAGCAAGAGACAGGTATGTGAGGTAGAGGTTACTCTGGGAGGCCATAAGCTTTCCTAAAGAGATGGGTTTTAAGGCATTTCTTAAAAGATGCAAGACAAAGGGAGAGTCTGATGGTGGTAGTCAAGCTATTCTATAGGAAGGGAAGGGCCACAAGAAGTCCTGAAAGCGCGAGTTGGTTGTATGGGTGCAAGCAGCGGTCAGGAGGTGGCCACGGGCAGAGCGGAGGGAACAAGGAGGAGCATACCTATGGATCTGTGAAGAGGTAGAAGAGGGGCTAGAATTGTTCAGTGCTTTAAATTTATGTGTTAGCACTTTGAATTGACTCCTGTAAGATACAGGGAACCAATGTAAGGACTGGCAGAGGGGTGAAGTGTGAGAGGACCGACTAGAGAGGAAAATCAGTCTGGCGGCAGCATTCATTACAGATTGTAGGGGGGCAATACGGCTTTTGGGGAGACCAATCAGGAGAGGGTTACAATAATCCATGCAGGAAATTACTAGAGCATGGACAAGCTCCTTGCTAGCATCTTGTTTAAGAACGGGGCGGATGCGGGCTATGTAGTTGGAATCTACAGGATTTGGGAACATACTGGATGTGAGACTCAAAGGTGAGGCCAGAGTCAAGTATGACGCCAAGACAGCGTGCTTGCAGGGATGGACTTATGTGGATATCACTGACTTGAAGGGAGAGCAAGAGAGGAGGATCAGTATTAGGAGGAGGAAAGACAAAGAGCTCAGTTTTATAGAGATTTAGTTTCAGAAAGCGGGAGGACATCCAGTCAGAGACGGAAGAAAGGCAAACAGTGACACGTTGCAGGACGGCAGGGGAGAGGTCCCGGGAGGAGAGATATATCTGGGTGTTATCAGCATACAGGTAGTAGTGGAATCCAAATTAGGTAATTGAAGAAGGAGAGCATGATTAATGGTGTCAGAGGCAGCAGAGAGGTCAAGAAGAATTAATATGCCTCTCTCTGCAAACTAATTCCTTTGGACTCTGCTACCACCTGTATGCCGATGACACCCAAATGTATCTCTCCCTTTGTCCCATAACGTCTCTCTGCTTGGATGACCTTCCGCTTTCTGAAACTCTCTACAATAGAGCTTCTTATCATTACTCCCTATAATGCTGATCCTTGTCTTTCGTTTTCCCTGCAAGTTGATGGTACTTGCATCTGTCCATCTCTGTAAGCTCGTTGTCTTGGTGTTATCTTTATTATTATTTATAAAGCGCCAACAAGTTCCATAGCGCTGTACAATGGGTGGACTAACAGACACGTATTTGTAACCAGACAAGTTTGACGCACAGAAAGAGGGATTGAGGGCCCTGCTCAATGAGCTTACATGCTAGAGAGAATGGGGTAGAGAAGTAGGTTGCTAGGATAGTATTCATTGAGGGCATCGTGTTTTGTTTTGATGACAGTTGCAGGAGAGGAATCAGGATTCCGGGAGGGAAAGCTATTGACAGTCTAATTGATATGCTTTCCTGTAGAAGTAAGTTTTCAAAGATATATATATATATATATATATATATATATATATATATTATCAGGAGTGGCGACTGGGTGAAAGTCTAACAGAAAGGGGAAGAGCATTCCATAGGAATGGTGCAGCCCTAGAGAGTCTTTAAGGTGAGCATCAGAGGTAGGAGTACAAACAGAGGTTAGACGTAGGTCTCCGGCAGAGCGTAGGGGCCTAGAAGAAACATATTTGTGTATTAGTGAAGATAAGTAGATCGGAGTAGCATTGTGTAGAGATTTGTAAGTGTCAGGATCTTAAATTGAGACTTATATCTTACGAGAAGCCAAGGGAGGGACTGACAAAGGGGGGAGGTGCGGGCGGACAGGAAGATAAGTCTCGCTGCCGCGTTCATTAAAGACTGCAACGGGCCTCATTGGGACCACGTAAGACCACTGAGAAAGTGGATTACAGTAGTCAAGGTGAGAAAGAGGACAGCAGCATGGACAAGCACCTTTGCCGTATCAGGTGTTAAATAGGGTCAGATGCGAGCAATGTTTTTGAGATGGAAGCGACAGGATTTGATGATTGATTGGACATAAGTGGTGAAGGAGAGGTCGGAGTCAACGAGAACACCTAGACAGCGAGCCTGCGAGGTAGAGCGGAGGAATACAGACAAGGGAGTAGCAACACTTGAGGGAGGGAAGACCAGAAGTTCTGTTTTGGACAGGTTCAGTTTAAGGAAGTAGGCAGCCATCCAATTAGAAATAGCAGAGAGGGGTGGTGAGAAATTAGGGGAGGACAGATACATTTGTGTCATCTACATAGAAATGATATTGGAAACCGAAGTAAATTGCAGGACTTTTCACTGGTGGCTTCTTTCCTTTGGAACAGCCTGCATACCACCATCAGACTCTCCCCTAATCTTCAGTCTTTTAAGAAGTCCCTCTAAATCCATCTATTCAAAAATGCATATGGCCTCCCAGAGTAACTTCTATGTCACATATCTGTCTCTTGCTCTTACCTAAAGAGCCACACTCTACTCTCACATTCAGTTAAGTTACATTCCCACCTTGTTTGGTTGCTGTCCTCCTTGCTGCCTGTTGTACTTTTATACTCCAACTCTTCTAGACTGTAAGATTGTTTGGGCAGGGTCCTCCTCTACCGATTTGTTTTTTTTATCATTTTGTAAATGTCTCATTTATTGTTAAATTTCCCTCTTTCATAATATTGTAAGGCGCTACAGAATAAGTTTGAGCTATATAAATACCAATTATAATCTAGCTAATATTGAGCCCTGACTGCTGGGGTGAGGGGTGATCTAGCTTATATTGAGCCATGACTGTGAGTGGGGGAAGGGTATAGTTTGTACTGAGCTCTGACGGCTAGGGGGAGGGCTGCTGGGGGCATAGTGCACCCTGAGGCAAAATGTGCAGCAGTCACAAGAATATGTTTTATATTACTGCTGGTTGATTTCATTTTTAGATCAATGCACAGGTATACTGTTTTTCCCTATAATCCAATATTGCTGTATCTATGCCCTTTTATTGGAATACATTTTGAACATGGTTTTGGAAGATTTTCCTTTAACCAAGTTTAAAGGGACACTGTAGTTACCCAGACCACTTCATCTCAATGAACTGGTCTGTGTGCAGTGACCCTGTACATTTTAACCCTGCAATGTAAAAAAAAAAAGTACAGTATTTTTTTATTTATTTTTTTAGAAACGGTGATGTTTGCATTGCATTGTTAAATCCACCACTTGTGGCTGTCTTCCTGACCATGTAAACCTTGGTCATGTAACACAGAAGCCTGTAGGAAGGTATTGATTGCAGATCTTTCCTATGGAGAAGCCTGAATGCTTGGCGTGCATGCAAATCAGATTCCCAATGCTCCCCTACAATGAACTTTGGATTGGACCACTGCTGAGGAGGTAGCCATGTCTGACATTGCCGGAGGTGGAGAGGTGTGCAGCACCAAGAGCATCTTGGTGCTGGAAAAAGTAAAGAATTAGGGAGAGGGGGGGGATATTTAACTAGGAGGCACTATGCGTTAGGAATACAATCCAATATTCTTAGTCCTAACGTTCCTTTAAAGCATTGCCAAACAAAGTGTTCCATGCATTGAAAACCTGAGTTGTTCTATAGGGGTACATCCTTTCTGTTATTGCTTTAACCTCAATGTCAAAAAGAGTTTGTATCATACGTGGTTTTTTGTTTAGCAATGCTCTGTGTGAAAAACGCTCTTTACCAAAGACGTTTGCCACAAACTCCTGGAGGAGTATGGAAGCTGGCCTCCTGCCCACTGAATATGGTCCAGGTTGGAGGACCGGTTCGGGAGTTAACCTCCCCAGCGCCTTTGACGAACTCTCTTTGCCTCAGCTTATGAGAACAATTTCCCCTAGTTCGGTTTTCAAGTTTTCCCAGAACCTAAAGTGTTTTTCCTTCATTCGGACCTATCAAACACTGACCACCCCTTGGCTCGTTAACTACAAAACAACCACAAACTTAAGTGCTCTCTTTGGGTGGCCGCCATTCGTATAGTCTAGTCTCCCGAAAGCAGGCAGTGGCACTTGGTCGTTGAGCATCTGGAACCCAAAGACGAAAA